ATGAGCTTAAAAGAGGTTCATTTTCATTAAATGCACATTTAGCTGATAAACATTTCATCCAGCATCTGTTAAATGTTGCCAAGATCAGAAGCATTCTTCTTTGGTGGTACGGTGGTATATCTGAGTAAGAGAAATAGGTAATTTATAGTATCCAGCTGTGTAAGCCACTGAGAACATTTTGTAGTGATTACACTCATCAATGTGAAGTATCGTTTCAAGTATGAAGATATGATAACTTCCTGTGTTGAAATAAGAATAATGGTCAAAGTGACAATTGCATATTTCTGTTCAACGAGGGCTTGATTGCACAGAGGTGGGTTGTAACAGTTGAAAGATTGGCTGGATTTTAGAGATATTTAAAGCACAGCAAGCAGAAATTGTCGTCTGGAGGCCAAAAAAAAAGAGCCTAAAGTCATTACGTAAATGTAGAAATGGCTGGCAGAAAAGACAGAACAGCTGGAAATAAAAGACTTCAGCTGGAATATAAAGATATAATGTAATATAAAAGATCATCCTGTTAGAAATTATATCAGTTTTAGTAAAACTGAATGAAAAGATAAGTGTCATTTTAATAATTTACTAAGTGAAATTATGTCTCAGTTTGATGTTTTTGAATTTGAGTGGCTATCTAGTTTTAAAAGAGCATCAGGCTTCTGAAACTGATTAGAGTTTTGTAGATAAAACTTTTGGACGACTAATTAGAGGGAAAACACCTGACCTCAACAGTACTCTGATTACTTTTGCATAGTGTTGTTAGCATTTTCCCCTGCATGCAGGAGATCACTGTAAAGCAATACAAAATTAGAATTTTTTTCTGTGGCGGAAAATAAGGTGTTGATGGATGGGGTGCTGTCCAACTACAACAGGATATGAAGAAGTCATTCAATAGATTATTTAGCTTAAAGTGGTTTTGAAAATGGAGGATTCATTTAATATACAGGCATGTTAAAAAGAAAATACCCATAATTTAAAGGTCTGGTAGATGCTAGAATCAGGCACCCCCATAATTAACTTTGTAGAACCATTTTTAGCACCGATAATTTGAAGTAATTGTGTCCTGTACGACTTTATCAAGTTTCTCACTTCAATGTTGAGAAATTTCGGCTCCCTTTTCTCTGCACAGGAGGAGGATTCCATGTTTGTATGACACGATGTTGTCCAAGCTTCAATCTGACAGATGGCACCGCATTTAACTTCAGAACAATTTTGCATATAAAGGAGTTATAACAGAATGACTCCATGATATTCCACAAATCTTACAGTTTATTTAAATACAACGTTGCAAACTGAATTTGTGCTTCCATATCCTTTTATTGTCAGTAAGGAAACTCTTTGGCTGTCCACACTTTATTTGTTCATTACACAAACCAACCTTTGGGTGGATTTGCTGGGATGGGCGAGTATATTTTAGTGTCGTTCACATTGGAATAATCTCTCTCCCTCTGAAATGATGGAGTTGAATTAGTTAGTAAATGACTTTATGCCCTTTAAACAGTTTGATGGATTTCACAAAGGCCACTGCTGTTTTTTTTTTTTCCCCTCTTGTCATTGTGTCAACACACTATTGTATGCTCCTCAGTACCACGCTGACATAACTCTTGCTTTACAAGATTTATGTCAGCATTATGCAGTTTCTGGTACAATTTACAGATTACTAACTAAATTAGCTTGATTAGCAACATTTGGCTGCTTCTTTACAAATCCTTTGTCTAATAAATATCAGTATTGTGGAATCCTTTGCATGTTTTCTACACATCAAGTCAGTTGTGTGACAATCTCTATACATTGAAATATCTGAAAAAAAAGATGCACATTTGTTTCGTTATGCCTGCATGTGTCATGCATTTTATCAACTCCCTACATTCCACTTCTCTTTTTGAGTTTTAAGTTTGAACTTTATAGTTTAATTAAAAGTGCTATATTTGTTCTGAGGATGAAATTAAAGCAGCAGAAATCTTCAGGACAAGTAGGTCAAGGCACTGCAGGTGCAAGGGGACCTTTTCTTTAGCTCTGGCACGCACAGTCACCACGACTGCAAAAAGAAACTTTTACACAAGTTTTCTGAATGAAATATCAGTTTTTTTTTTCTTCTTCTTCTTCCAGGACTCACCAACCAACAAGCTGCTGTATGCCAAGGAAATCCCAGAGTACAAGAAGAACGTGCAGTGTTACTACAAGCAGATACAAGAAATGCCCCCCCTCAGTGAGCAGGAGATGAACGCTCACCTCGCCGAGGAGTCGAGAGTAAGTCAAACATTCAAACAGCTCCTGTTTGTTTATCTGTCTGGCTCTTCAAAAGCATGTTATAACAGATAAGTTTCACTTTGGAATTTGAGCTAATCTGCTGTTTTTATTGTCTGTCTTGCAGAAGTACAGAAATGAGTTTAACACCAACCTGGCCTTGACAGAAATCTACAAATATGCCAAGAGATACAGAAACCAGGTGAGAGATTGTGCATTTCTTCACTGTTTTTGTGATCTGAGACGTGGATAAGATATGTTTGGATGTTCAGATTGGCTTATTTTTGAAAGCCACATTGCCTCAACAGTGCTCACTTGTTGTATTAAGTTTCACTGATAGCTATCAGAGCGTGATGCATCAGTGCTGCAGATCTCAGCTGCGATGAGAGATGTAACAGACTGTGGACGGCGTTGCAACATGTCAGTAAATAAAAGCATGTAAAAGCCTTTTTTCTTCTTTTGTTGAAAGGAGAAACAATCAGATTTGGGCTCTCGTCCAAGCAGCAGCAGCAGGAACTATTCAGCGTGTTCACTCATCTCTTCCCGACCCTCAGATACCTTTCACTTCAAGTAAACAGCGTGTTGTTTACCTTCTCGTGAGCCAACACCCCCATCTGTTTAATGGCGCTGTTAAGTTGCCGCTTCATATCCCTCGTTTTGCTTTGAACTGGCCCTCTTCAGGCTCCTGCTGTCCTCCCCCATGCCTCCACGCTGCTACGCCTTATTCTGCAGAGAGAGGCTTAGTCAGTGGTGACTGTGCCTTAATGGAGCGCCCTCACAATAATGCTGCTTAGCTTCTTCCCTCTGTCATGCTACTGTACTGACGCGGGCCAGGGGCTTAGACTCTGATTCACAGAGCTCTGTGAATGGCCCCTGATTGCCTATTCTCTCGCCCCGGCTCAGTTCGCTCTGCCTGGTAGCGCACTGCTGCTAAGAGCCCATAAATCCCACTGACACGGTGACAACTGTTGGGCATGAAAACCAGAGCAGATGTGAGTTTTATAAATATGTGAAGAGCAAGAGCTTTTGTGGTTATAAGGCATGCATGAAGGCAGGGAGAGGAGGCTGAAGCACTTCACTCGCTCCTTCTGCACCTTTCCGAAAGTATTCATACCCCTTAAACTCAAAGGTGATGGGAAGAGGGATGGAGCAGAGTACAAGGAAATCTTTTAGAGACGGCCAAAGACTCTTCTGGACAATCAGAGCTACCATAGAGTGGTTAAGATCAAAGAATGTGTTTGACTTGCCCAGACAAAGTCCAGACTAGAACCTTAGTGAGACTTAAAATATTGCACAAAAATGTTTTCCATTCAATCAGACTGATCTTGGGCAAAGAGAAAAAAATCACTCATTAGATGTATAAAGCTAGTAACAAATTCTGAAAGCCATGTTTTCCTTTTTTCTGCTACATACTAGTTTTGTTGGTCTGTTACACAAAACTTTTTAGCTATAATGCGAAAAGGATCCAGAATACTTTTTTAGGAGTTATTGTCTGTGACGGCAGGTGGCGGGTTTATTCCCTCTTGTTGCGTTTATGTTGACAGATTAATGCATGAATCATTGACAACTTCTGAAAGTCATCTTTGTTTTTGTTTTGTTTTTCTTTTTTCTTCCTTCTCTTCCATCTTCGCTGGTCAGGTGGTGAACGCTTTGGAGGCCAACCCCACGGCACGTCGCACTCAGCTGCACCACAAGTTCGAGCAGGTCATCGCTCTGGTGGAGGACAACATCTACGAGTGCTGCAGCGAAGCTTGAGGCCGCCGCTCTCCTCTGCTCCCCATCTCTTTTCTGCTGCCAGCTGCCTTCCTCCCACCTACACGGCTCCCTGGGACCGCCGCTCAGGAGGAACTGTTCGCATGAGTGTCTTGACTGTGGCGAGAAAACGGATTTTAGTGCTGCCTCTGAAGCATCACACACTCGCGACGTGTTGTCCCCAAACCTTTTCCTGCGACACAAGACAGAATTCCAGCCTAGCTCGGATTAACGTTAGAAGAAAATTGCAGGAGTTCACAACTTTTCCCTGGATTTCTGCACAATTAGCCCTGGTGGCCACCTTTAACGCACTGAGCCCTTTTTTTTTTTTTTTTTTTAAAAGGGAACGAGCCAATGATGCACTGTACTGTAATATAGTGTCTATAGCAATATTTATAGATGTGTTATAATGCTTTCAAGTGGCCTGTCCATCAGGATTAGTAGGGCCATGATAGACTCCTCCCATCTCCTAAAGCCTGCGACGATCTCAGGTCTGGCTGAAGACGGGCGACAGGCTCCCAGCGGAGCTCTGAGCTTTACGCCTCAACGTGCTCTGCAGGCTGATGACGGGTTGATGAGGAGCGGAGGGAAGGTCATAAAAGACTGCAAACAATGAAATCAAATGTTTTAATGTAGTTCACTGGGAAGAGCTGCATCAGTATAATCAGTGTGCTTGTGAATGGATGTTGGATTCCGATCAATTTAGAAAAAAAAAAGAGGGAAATTTACATTTAAAAGAAAAAAAATGTGTGAGCTCAATATAATCTGAGGAGAGACTGTAATTGTGATGCCAAATGATCTGTTTGTGAAATAAATTACAGGAAAGTAAGTATTTTAAAGTGTCTAATAATGCTATTTATTATAGCAGCTGCTGAAGCGCTGTGCCTTTGAATGCATTACAGGATTTTAACGACATTTGACAGCCATTGAAATCTGGCCCTCTACTCGGCCGCCCACAAAAAAAGCATCTGGAAGTTCTCAGAAAACATTGTAAACGTTGTCACGAATGAAAAAAAAAAGTGCAGGATAAGGTTGTGCAGACGTTCAGCTTTGTTTTTATTGCAACACACAAATCCTAGCCTCTACACAACAAACAGTACGTCTCTATATTACACATTCTGGCATCCATTCAGATACATAAACATCTGCCAAACACACACGCACACACACACCCACACTATATCATTCAGTTTTGCTTCACACCCATGGCTGAGACAAAGTACAAGCAAACCCTCCCAGGTTTATCATCAGGAAGACCAGAAGAGAGAATAATCTGATGCTCTAATAACATTAAACAGATTAATTCTTAAATAAATCTAAGGATTTCATAACTGGTTAGTCAGTGTCTGATTTGAGGACATAAACAGAAGCTTACATGCACATATCATGGACATAAATGCAATGTTCATTTGGTAATTTTCATTATGCATTAAATTGAAGGTTTCTTTTTTTTTAGGTTGACATTGATACAATAATTTTTTAAGATAAGAGTTGGGTGGACAGGGTTATTATTAATCTTTATCTAATCCAAACAGGGGCAAGTAAATACAGAGAGGTTCAGATATTTATACACATCCCACTGATATTTCGAGAAATGCCCTGTAGAAAGTTGCAAACCATGTTTTTTTTGTGACCATTCCTAAAGTTCTGGCATGAGACCCAGAAACAGTATATATATTTTTTTGATTCCTTTGCACTGATCTGGCTTTTTTGCAGAGTCCATATATTTTCAACAGACTTACGGTCAGTGAGATTGTTACCCTGCAGTATCCACAATAGGTTTCATATGTTTGGTATCTGTGTCCTTTTTGATCGTTAAACTGTGAGTGTCAATTATGCTGCCAGTGATGATGAACTAAAAGTAACATTCCTTAACCATAGCATAAATCCACAGCTGCATGGTTGAAACTTGAAGACACCAGGAACCCAAACACTCATCAAAACTGGATGTGGGATGGATAAAGCAGGCTAGCATTAAGCTGGAACCTCAACACGAATAAAAAATGATGAACTATGGTTAAAAAATGTACACAGCAATCCAACCAATTATGTAAGCTTTAAACTTTCTGGTAGGAAAAGCGAAATAACCGGCTGGAATTATGTCAGTTACTTGTTCATGGCTACAAAATGTGTGCTTCTTCTCTGCAAAATGCTAAGAAACGTTAATTCAAATATTAGTGGGAGCATGACTCTGAATCAGACTTTCACCTATAACCTGTTTACTGAAGCAGCAGGGGAGGCCTGGAAGGAATTCAGCTGGATCCGCATCAAGATGGCAACCCTATTATGCTGGGTTAAAAATCTGAACACTTTCCATAATTAAACGGGCTGAAAGTGAACATGCTGGCCTTTGATTGAGTCTGTCGAAGTTGTGGCATGCGCGCCAACTGCATCGAGGACAACAGAGGAGGTGAGTCCGGAGGAATCGGCCAATGGAATGTATTGCTGCTCTGCGGTGGTGGGTCCCTTGGTGAGCGGGAACAGATGGAGCAGATAGAAGAGGGAGTGAGGGGTCAAGCGGGGGCCACCTGGCTGGAGGAGACAGATGAAGTCTGGGTTTTGGAGACTGCGGCGGCGGCCTCATCATCTCCGAATGGGTTCTTTCCACAGCACACTGTGGTGATCATGCAGTTTCTGAACTGGAGACCACAGAATCACATTCAGGAAACATTGACTTGGCTCATTAGTGTGGCCAGCTGACATATTAATGCAAAAATACACTTTGTCTAAAGTGTAACCACAGTAAAAACAGCATGTGGTATTCATTCTCCCAACCTAATGTATCAACGTTTGCTAATAATGTGTTCACCTCACTTTGCTAGATGTGTGCAGATAAAACAAGGCCCCAGCATACACACATTTTTGCAGATGTCCCACATTAGACCTTGGTTAAGCTGTTAAAGATCTTGGAACAGTTTCCAGTTTGAGGTTTAAGTTTTAGATCATTTACAAGATAAATCTGACAGATTTATGGTAAGAAAATAAACAGCATTTATATTTTGCACATGTTTCAAATTCTTTTTAAAACAATTTATTTTTTCTGATTCTGTTTACAGAATTACTAAATATAAATATAAATCTGCAACTAAAATTTTACTAAAAGGTAAAGTTGCCCTGTATTACAGTACCAAGTTGTTGTTACATAAATAAACGAGAATACAACAAACCATTAAAAAAGAAAAAACTTTTTTCACCTTCTCTGTGGACCTATAAATAATACTTCAACCATGAAGCAGAAAAATGAAAAAAAGGTGCAATGACCTGCCATGCACACCCATAAACCGAAGCTTTGTTAAAGCACATTTTGTTTCCATTTTTGCTTTTTTTTTTTCTTCTACCTGCTGCTGGTAGCAATCTATCAGCACACCAAATCTGGACATTTAGTACACATACTGCTTTGATTGAGTCTGTCCCAGGACAGTCCAGAGAACTGCCGACCACTGTCCAAATATATCAGGTTGTGACACATTTCTGGTCTAAAGCCCTGTTCAGGTGACCCCACAGACAAACTGTTGAATCTAGTTCTTTACTCCAAAATGTTTAATTCCCTCTCAGAGTCTTGCTTGGACTGACTGTGAAAGTGTAAAAGAAAATCCACCAGGACAAATATCTCTCCGTATGAGAGAGTTTTTAGTGATGTTCAGTGTTGGTTTTGTACCAAATGCACCTTCTGGAACTGAGGCCCACGCTTAACTTTGGTTCCATTGGCTGAACCAGTCTCTAAAACAAGGTTTTGGGATACTTTAACACGGCCCAGGAGCTTTATTAGGGGGAAAAAATAGTGTCTTGCAATCTTATTTCTTAGTCCAGAAATATGGAAAATACAAGAGACTGTTCTCACATTTAGAAGACAGACAGTACTTGGCAGAAAATCCTGCAGCTCCTTCAGCTTCTTGGCAGTCTCATTGACCAGTTTGTGTCTCATCTTTAGTTTTAGAAAAATGTCCAGTTTTGTAATGTTCCTACATATTTTCTCCAATCAGTAATGACTGCATTCACTGTGCCATAATGCTGCAGATTGTTTGTACCCTTGTCCAGATTAATCTCTTTGTACAATGAGATCATCGTGATCCTTTGTGACCTCTCTGCAAGCTCTGGCTTTAGTTAAAGGATGTAAATGTCAGGAAATGTCTGGACTCAAGAAGACAAAATGCTGAACGTGAATCAAAAGGGGTTTCGGGAAACTGATCGTTTCAATGTGTGAACATTTATGCTACATGGTTATTTTAGCTTTTCATATTTTAATATTTTTTTCTCAAAATATTTTTGCTTTTCTTTCACTTTGCAACTAAAGGCTAAATACTTGTGCAAAGTGTTTAATTCAAAATATAAAATCCAACATTCTAACTACTAAATAAACAAGGAATATTCTATTTGAAATTATAAATTAGCTACCTTTTATTAAATTATCTAAAAAAAAAACAATTCAGTCATCTTCTGTGCATACCTGTCTGTTCAGCAGAATGTAGATGACTGGATTGTAGAGAGCAGCGCTCTTGGCGAAGAAGGCTGGTGCCGTCATGAACACTGGTCCGAACTCAACTCCCTGATTGGCAAAGATGTACCAGGCCACAGTGGCGTAGGGCACCCAGCACACCAGGAAGGAGATCACCATCACAATGACCATACGTGTCACTTCCTTCTCTGCTCTTTGGGTAGTTTCAGACTCCTGCTGCTGAGCTGCAGCCTGAACACAAACATATAGAATCTGAACATGAAGGAAATCAAACCTTCAAACTGGTTTTGTAAGGGCTGGTATTTACTCTCCGGAGGGGTCAGAACCTTTGTCCTATTGAAATATATGGAGGAAACTTAAAAGTCATCTTTATGGTAGGAGACGTTGTCCAGTTTCAACAAGCTCTGCTGTTTCTGGTGAGAAAAGTGAATAAATCATCAACAATACCAGAAGTTTCTCTTCACCTTGTAACTCTATGTTGTAAAGTGCTGCTATTTCTTTACAAATTAGTTTTTTGAAGTTTTTTGTCATGAATCTGAAGGCAGCATGGGTTCAAGGTTACTAAGTTTTTACTTTTTTAAGCACCATTTTCATCAGATGAGAAAATTAATAAAAAAACATTTATTATATTCATTTATTACATTTATTATACCATATCAGTCATATGGTTTGTACTTCTTTTTTTGTAGAAAATAGAAGAAATATAAGGATGTAAAATACAGATAATTGATACTGGTCAAAAACAATTTTGAATGAAATACTGAGATGTAACAAACTTTTCTTGCAATAAACATCAAATTCGATTTTCAGATGTCAATGCAAAATGTTATTGTGGGGAAATCAACCATAAATTTGAGAACATTGGAATGAGTAATGATACATTACATTTTCTAAAGAAGACTATTCTTGCATCTTTATTGAAATTAACATTTGATCAAAATTAGTTGGAAAATATTGACCAAACAACATTAACCTCCTCCTTGTTCAGGATGTCAACAACTCAACAACTACAACAGGTTTTGCTATTTTCTGTTTATGAGAGCTTCAAAAGTGCCCTACTGCACTTCTGTGACTGTTCCCCCAGTATAACAATAGATGTCAGTTATGAAGTGATGAACTGAAAGTGGGATTTGAGCGTTCAAATGTAAACTTTCTAGATTTCTTCATATTTTCTTAAAACATATTATGAAAAAGAAAACAAAGCAAAACTGGAGCGACAAATGATCTTTTTGGTAGATTATGCACTTTTACCAATGCAAATTTGGATGTGGAGAATTTATTTTTTTTTCCATTAATGCCTCCTAACGCATGATAAAAATGTTAGTATTATTGTCAAGGGCGTGAGGATGACACAGTGTGGAGGCAGACTGCCCTTTAACTTGAGAACCTCAGTACAAGCTGCCACGTTGGCAATGATCTGCCCTCCTGAAGCGTCCTTGAGCTTCTAAATCCCCTCACATCTCCTGAGACTCCATGATGCTTTGCCCTCCTTCAGATGGAGGGGGAAAAAAATCTTTATCCTGATAAACAATCTATCTTTTTTTTTTCTTTTTCAATCGAAGCATAGATGGTGATATTCTTACCGCTCGCACTGTGCAGAGCAGGCGACTGTAGCAAAAGAAAATGATGAAGAGGGGGATGCAGAAGTGGAGGACGAACATATAGATGACAAATGAGGTGTTGTTGATCTCTGGCTTGGGAGTGTAGTAGTCAATCCCACAGGAACACTGCATGCCCTCTGGGATGAACCTGCATCCAAAAGCAATATGGCAGCATGCCGTAATTAGATGCTGCCTGTATGCATTACCATAACAAACGAAAACGACAAAACCACAATGCTTCTGCAGTTTCACAGCGACACAGATATGGCGGCATACAGTACCGGGACCATCCACACAGAGGCGGAGCAGCACAGGTCAGGGCCATGACCCAGGAGAACGCCAAGCCAGCCATGGCGTGTTTTTCCTCGAAGCGGAAGTTGGTCATGGGCTTACAGATCACAATGTAGCGCTCAACGGCCAAAACGACCAGAGACCAGAGGGCAATCTCCCCTGAGACATAAAGCAGGACATTTTACTATAAAAACTGATCTTGTATTGAAGACAACTAGGGCAGCTGAAAAAAAAATATCTGACTTTTATTCTCAGAATTTGTAGACAGAATTCTGAGGGGAAAAAGTCATGAACAACAGTCTTGAATTGTAGTACACAGTGGAAGTATTTTGAGCAGAATATACATGGAGAGTTTCTCACCTCCTAAAGTGGCAAAGAATCCCTCAACGTTGCAGCCGGTGACGCCCAGGCTGAAGTATCCGTGCAGAGCCGTGTACAGGGTCACCGTGAATCCTCCAACTATCATCAAAAGGTCGGCCACCGCCAGGTTGAGCAGAACATAGTTCAGCGGGGTTCGCAGCTTTTTGTGCTTGACGGTGACATGAAGGGTGAGGAAGTTAATGGGGAAGGCCGTGATGATGAGGAACAGCATGTATGCTGCCAGAAGAGAGTACTTCCACGGCTCGGCGAGGTAGTACTGAGGGTGCTCAAATGGGCTGCGCACCAACCCTGTCCTATTAGACATGGGGACATAAAAGTTGGGTCCTTCTGTGCCATTCATGGCTGTGGCTGCTGATGATGTCTTTTCTTTTCTCTGAGACCCGGGCGAAAGAGCCTGCACCTCTCAGAGGAAAGTACAGCTGGGATGTCTTGTGGTGCAGCGGAGGTGGAAATTAGGAGAAAAATACGGATGGACGGCTGGATCCTGAGGAAGTAAGACGTTCTCTGCAGCCCCCTGAGGAGGTGCGCCACCTTTTAATAGTATGGCCGGATTAGGGATGAGGGATGGAGTGAGGTGTTAGCAGAGATTGAATTAAGACACAGTTTGAGAGTCCTTGCACACATTAAAAACACACACACACACACACTGAGATACACAAGGCATCACGGGAGAAAGCTCTAAAAATACACAGCACATAAAAGATGTGAAGCATTTTCTCAGTGAGAAGTTAGAACCACGGTTAAATAAACCCATTAATTACTGTCATGTGCATCACCGCTGCATGAGAATTAGCTGAGAGGACCGAGTGGGAGGGGAGGCGGAGGAACGGTTTTGGAGTTTCAGCCGTTCGGAGTGGACGGACTACAAATGAAATTTCTGCAGCAATCCAACTTATTTGCATCTGTAAAAAGCTTAATCCTTAACCACTGCAAGGCGGAGAGCTCCACTTATAGTGTTGAGTGTAATCAGAATCAGCGGGTTATACTGCTCATAACAGCTCTTACACAAACACAAATCCCAAAGTTCAAACAAAAAGAGAAGGCAGTTAAAATCGCTCATTTTTTCCTTGTAAAATGGATAATAACAGTCATATGAAAGCCAGCATATTTTATTATAGTTCATACAATTTGAACACAAGCTCAGAAAATATACAGATCTTTGTGTAATAACATTCACAAAAACATTAAAATAGTGATGTTTCTCAATTTTTGTATATATATTTTTCATTGTAACTAAAGTCCCTTTATTCCCAAACACAACATGTAGTACCTCTGCTTCCTGAAATTTAGAACAAATTTACATAACTCAGCTACATCTTCACAGAAAACTACAAGCTATACCTCCAAGATGATTACTTTCAAATTTTTCTGAAAACAAAAAGTAAAATAAATGAAAGGTTCTCAAACTGTCTGTGCACTTGAACTGCATTTAAAGGTCAAAGGAAATTTTGATGATGTTATTTAAAATAGAAATGAATAAACTGTGATGTAGAAAAGGTGAGTTTTTTTTAAGACCGTTAGTTGTTTCATCAGAGAGATTAACTGATGAATTTGGCGTTGAGATATCTACATGTGAACTTAAGGGGACAGCAGTGAAGCAAAACTGGTGATTGTGGGTATTCATGCTGTGCTTCACTGACCTCTCAAGTCTTACCCTGACCTTGATGACCTTGTTCTAGACCAGTGGCACTTACCAATTTATGTGATTAGTCGACAAGTTAATTACTACTAGCAATCTCCATTGTGTCCCTCCAAACACGGTAGAAACCTCACTAAAAGAAATATTGAGTGCAATTGTAAGGTTTAATATGAAAAGGTATTGCGCAACAACAGATTTTGTATGAAAGGCAGCCATTTTGTATTTTGAGATCAGAGTTGGGGACTCATCCTGTTTTTTCCAGGGTGAACTAAATTCATTAGTTAATCACAAATACTTAGTAATGACCCTATGTTTATATTTAGGGTTTAAGTTTAAAATCTGTATTGATCACAAAAATAACTTAGTAAGTTTAACAGACTTAAAAACACAAGGCTTGACATTTGGTAGATCCTCTGTTTTTTGGGTTGTTTTAAGTCTCACCTTTACTCCTCCAAACATGTTTTCTAATAATGAGGTCAAACATCTCAATCTGGTGTTTAAGAAGATTTTAAGTCCTCAAAATGTGAATTAAATTTTAAGGGCAACACTTTTAATGACAGTTTAAGTCCCAGTAGAGACCCTTCCATTTCTGAGTAAAAATGGAATGCATTATTAAATTGTATCTTTCAACTAAACATGCTATGCAAATTGAAAGTGCCAGTGGATAAATCTTTTTTTCTTTCCTTTTTATGTGATTTATCATAACAAGGTCCTGTTGAATTGTGAATTATTGTGTTAAAATGCCTGATTGTACTTGGAGGTCTTACAATTTACTAATGAGGTATTTACCATACAAAGAATTACTGCAATAAGTGAAATGTTTAATTTAATTTAATACGGTGTTGATCAGTTGGGTTCATCAATGGGTCGGCGGCAGTAAGGACAGCAGCTGTGCTGCAGCAAAAGGATCTCATAGTCTTCACTGTGAAACATCTGCAAGAAAATACAGTAAGAGAATGTTAGAAAACAAGAAAGGAGCAGCAGCAGATCAACTATCAATCGAGAGATTCAAAACAGACAATTATGGTACAAAACCAGAAATTTTTTCTCTCTGTTTAGTAAATTGATCAAAATGAAGAAATCACACCATTTTCAGTCCAAAACCCCCCACATCAAACAAGGGTTTTCAATTTCACAGACTTTTTGAGTTAAATAAAACTTCTATTATTGATGCATAAAAAGGAAAATTGTTTAAACTTTATTTGGATTTAAAACTTCCACTTCCTCAAGACACTGTAGCACTCTTTTTTTTCTCTTGTTCATGTTTCGGTCATAATAATTAAAACAATTGCAATTGGTCAAACTCCGGATGGTCTAGCCAGATGTCAGCTAAATTGAAAATCTGTTTCAGCCAGTTAAAACCATTTTAGCAAGAGTTGCACCACTGGGTATGTAAATGCAGTACCTTGAAGCAGCTGGGGCACATGGTGATGCTCACGTCCGGCAGCAGGGAGCGGAAGTATTCCCATTTGAGCGGCTTGGGCCAGCGTTTGATCAGGACGTCCCTTCTGCTCATGGAGCGCAGCACCGAACGACTCACCTTGACGGGTACAAAGGTGGAGCCCCCTTGCTGTTCGGAGACACAGATGAACACGAACACATCCTCTTACGGCCTCTGTCTTTTCACTATCTCCAGCTGGTTCACCCAGCTGGCAGAATATTAATCACCTCATCAATTTTGTCCTTTCTTTTTTTTACCTCGAAGCTCATTTTGGCTGAAAACGGATCGTCGTCTGTATGATCCAACCCGTCATCTATCCTCAAAGCCTCCAGGTCTGCTTGGCATCAATGAAGAGCAAATAACCTTTTACATTTTTACAAATGTTTTCCACAATGATACCTGCAAAACAGGAAAGCTCCAGATCAACTGACATCTGAGAGCGAGTTCTGGGAGACAATGTGTCTAAGTTGTGCCTGTCAGTCACTTCACGGCCTTGGAGGAACACAACACACCTCGGTGCCCTTGAGAGTCTGCTGGCTAATGCAGGTTAATCCCCACAGCAGGGCTGTGGCTATGGCTCTTCGAGAGTTAGTGTCATTAAGAAGAGACGGGAGAGCCTCACTAACCCTATTAGCGCGAGGACTAAGATGACTTAGTTCTGACAGCTTACCCACAAGCACAAAATCAAGGCCAGTGCAGACTAAACAGCTTCTGAGGACCGTCACAAGACAGAGGAGAGCCACATGCTTCAATTAGAGGAGGTGTGCTGTTTGTAAGTGCAGCTGCAGAGCGGACACTTAATAATTCATATTCATCAAGTGAACAACCTGTCACTTTGTGTGCAGATATGATAATAAGCTGAAGATGAAAGGATACCACCGCTTCCCACGTTGGGGCCTTGTGCTTTGCAATCTCCTGTGTGAGGAACCTCCAGGTCGATGAGGGACAGAGCTTCTTCATCACTGATTCCCTCCCCCAGGTAGAACTGCACCAGAGGCAGCACCTCTGTGTCAAGCAACATATGCAAAGCAATGAAAAACAACGTAACAATAAATCTCACATCAGAGTAGCATGTTTGAATCACTGACCGTATGACGAAGCGGAGTAGATGAAAGGCTGCCTGCAGTTGATGCACACGCTGCCCTGGCTGTTCAGAAGCGGGTTGTTTGTGGAGCACCGGTAGCACATCATGTCCTCAATAAAGTCCTGCAGGAAACATGAAAACTTTACCCAACAGGTAACAGGATGGGGATTTGAATTGAAGTCTTCAACATACCTCGCTGTCGTGGAAGGGCTTGGAGTGGATTGTGAGGCTGCCCAGCTCTATGGACTCCACTAAGCGTGAGGGAATGTGAAGCTCCTGCAGCTTCTCGTAGGAATACCTGGCCAACTTATACGCTCCCAGTTTGCAACTCTCCTTGGCCAGAGCAAACAATGTGTTGCTAATAGTCAGGTTAAGGCTTTTGTGCCATAACATGTAGGGAAACACTGATCAGAGAGATGTCGATTAACCAATTTTGCGAAGATCTGACAAGCTGGCAGCAATTCTAACTGACTGGTTGTAAATAGAAACAAACACTTAACATTTTAAGCAAAATAAATAAATGAATGATTTCTTAAGAGATGATCAGATAGCAGAGCCTTCTCTCTACATCACCGGTATCTCAAAAATACAGTAAAATATTTACAAGAGGAATTTGTAAAAGAGAAAAACAGCAAATCTCATTTACTCTTTTACAATACAAGCGCATCTTTTTGTTTTGCTTCATTGGCACACCTCAAACTGCAGGTCATTATATTTTAGTCTAAGGGGGATTTAAGAAGCCTTTCTCTGAATGTCATGATTAATATTAGGCACAGACTTGATGTCACATGGTGTGTGAAGGAGAGTTTTCCACAGCTCTGCACTTAAATTTCAATATTTTAAATCATTAACAACATGATTAAAAAATCTTTTTAAAAAATTTAATTATATCACTCTGTGAATCTATCTTAAGTTTACTTTTTTAAATTAAATTGTGGCAATAAATAAACTTTCTAATGATTGAGAGGCACCAGATTGGAAAAAAGATCTTTGATCTCCCAATCTTCGGTCGTGGTCAGTCAAACGTAAAAATCAGCCAAATCTGGTGACTCGTTCATTTCTTGGTGCATCAGATCCTTAAAGTAGTAGCAAAGAATAAATAAATAAATGACATCACCCACATTTGGCAGAGAGTCTGAACAGAACGGCTAACTATTAGTAATTATATAAAAACAGATTGTGGAGAGCAGCTCTGTGAGTGCAAAGCACAGGTCAATCAGCTGCAGAGGCAACAGCTCTATATCGGGACACTATTCCTCTCCAGCTCCTCCTACACACCCAGCTCTGCTACTCCTGATAAACACACATCCTTCTATTGTGTTAAGCGTTTAGTTTGTGGGGCACAGGAGGTTATTTACAACACTGTGTCAAACAGCTCACACAACATCCAACACCTTCCCGCTAAGTTCATAAATCTCACTTCAAAGTTGTCGGAGCAGTTCGGTTCAGCCACAGAGGATCCCAGCAGCTGGGGTGGATTTCCTCTTCCAAGGCCCTGCTTTCCTTCCTCATACCAGCTCCTAGATGGGCTGCTCTGTGCGCTTCTTAGTGGGGTGAAATCTGTTTGGTCAAATTAAAACTTATTGTTCATCGAGTTTATGAACAGGGAAGTGTGCACAGAGTTCAGTAATCAAACCGCTTGTTTAGAAAACCAACTATGTGCCTCTTGCTGGCATTGCCTCCTCCCCGTCATCACGGCTTTTCTTTCCCTCAGCAGCAGAGCGGTCTCTGCTGTGGCGCCAACTCTCCCGTTCTCTCCCAACTTTTATCTCTTTTCCTCTGCTTTGTCATCGCTGCCGGAGCCAGTGTTGATTTTGGAGAGATTTGATGTAGGGAAGAGGTAAAGTCCACCCTACTGCAACATCTTGGTGTTAAATATACTTTCATTGAGAAAAAGGATACACTTTAGAAATCCCTGGAAGTACATCCTTGGTGAGGTTGTTCAGCAGGAACCTGCAAAGGCTGAAGATTGTCTCTGGCATGTGGGAACTAAAAGGTTCATCCTAAAGATAGAAAAAAATATTTATAATGAGAGATGAAGGTGGTATGGATTAAAAATAACCTAAATATCTGATAGCCATTTTAAAAGCTCCATTTCTTTTTCTCCCACTTTTATTTCTGTAATCTTTCAACCTGTCCTAAAGCAGCCTAACCCGCTGCTGCGTCTTATCCGTCCTCGGAGTGCCCTGGAAGGCAAAGATGAATTTTCTAAAGCCATCACTAAAAGCATTTCATCCCCAAGAGTTGATAACTTTAAATCTATAGCGCCTGTCTGGGAGAGTTAGCGTGATAAATAGAGGTTTTCCTGCTCTGGTCTGGATCACAGAGATGCCTCTGTTGTTGCGAGGGTGTGACCACGGCGGAGAGACAGAACGAAGGAGCTGAAACAACAAACTGAACACACTGACACAGGCCAGGTCACACACACACACACACATAAAATGCTTCTAAGCAGGAACTGTGTTGTCTTGAGGCATATAAGGCCGGGGGGCAGGAGAAAGCTGCTCAGGAGGTTGTCATGTTGTTCCATAAAGGAGCTTTTTACCTTAGCGACAGAGGTCAGGGGGGTTTAGAAGTCCAATAATGAGTGGAATATTTCCCTTTAGTGAACTGTAACCTCAACTTAATGCCTTCTATTTTCTCTTTTGTTCACTTCGCCTGACACTCTCTGTGCTTATCGTAATTTCCATTTAAAGCCGAATCATTCTGTGGATTGACATAATCTCGCAAAGCCAGACCTACTCTCTGTGTGTGTGAAATCGTAAGTCACGTGTAAGTGAACAAAAATAGGCCTCTAACCACATTGTAGGTACTATTTCTGGGGCTAAGCAGTTTAAATTTGACAGCTACTCACTTAGGTCCTAGTCTTTGTGTTTTTGAGTTAAGCAGAATTAAAAAGTTAAAGTTCTAGAATCTCACCGTGTAACGCTGAATGGAGCTATAGACGTAATAAAGCTCAGCAAGACGCTGAAAACTCTCAAACTTCTCCAGCATTTCCTTCATCTGTTCTTTGTTTTCTGGTTCAGATGAACAAAATCGTAAGAGGGTGAAACTTTATGGCAAAAAAAAAGGGGGGTTTTAAGACTTCATTGTTGATGTTCCTCACCTCGGGCAATGTCCAAACACTGCATAGACAGCATCCAGTAATAGTAGCCTGCGTCGTTGAACCTGTTCTCCACCACTGCATTGTGGGTAAGCTGCTCCAGGACTTTTACTGCTTCATTCTGACGCCCGGCCTTGTGAAATGCTGACAAGTAGGAAAAGATCAACAGTCAGTTGCTCCTGTGAGCCTTCAAAAGACAATTTAATGAAGCAATACTTCATACAGTTGAGTTCAAGAGAGACACCATGTGACGATTTTTACTGGTCTTCCAAGCAACCCTTTCACACATCAGGAAAGCAATAATGGGAAAGGTTTTATATTCCTCCTTATTAAAGCTTCGCAGAGTTACATCTAACTGTTACAGTTAACTGACATTACAACCACAAACGTCAACGTTTTCGATTAGGATTTTATGTGATATTTTTTTTTGTTTTTGTTGTGATTTGTTATACAAATTCAAAGTATGGCACCTAATCTTTCATGCATTTGTGCTAAAGCCCTTGAGGTCCACCTTTCGCCTCAATCACAGATCCATTTCTTCTAGCTAAAAATGTTTTCTGCATTCTTTGCAAAATTAGCTCTGGATATACAGTGTCTTATGAGAAGCCATTTTCAAGTCATACCACACATTCTCAGTTGGATTTAAATCTTGACTGTGACGAGATCAGTCAAACAAAAGGATGTGTTTTTTCTAACCTCTTTATTGCAGCTTTGGCTGGATGTTTTGGTTCTGAGTCCTATTGGACATTGAACTTCCACCTCAGTTTTTTTTAAAGCCCCTTAAATATAGATATTACTGTATTTAAAATCTCTCTCTATAAACTCAGACAGCTTCCCTGTTGCAATGAAAAAAAAGCTTTCAACAGTATGATGCTGCTACAACCATATTTTACTGATGGGTTGGTATATTCAGGATGCTGAGCTGTTCCCTACCGTCCGTGATGTTTTGCATGTACAAATAAAAAGTTTTGGTCCTATGCCATCATGTGAAGCAGAAACCCAACAGTTTCCATATCAACACATTCTCCCAACTGAGCGATGGCTCTCTGCTGATGCTCCAAAGTTAGTGAGCTTCTTCTCTCCTTCTCTTATGCTCTTCATGTCTCTTTATGTAAACACTTATCAAATTTTATTTGTAAAAGCATTTGAAGTTTTTTTTCTTTCTCTGAAAAAATACTTCAAAATACTTTCTCTTGGTCTATTATTGCATAAGGTCCCAATAAAATACAGCTAATTCTGCAGTTTTAATGTGACAATAAATGTTATGATGCGTGAAGCACTGTGAATAAATGTCAAAAGTGATTCATTTATCAGATAATAGATAAAGTGTTTCTCATTTTGTATATGTAAGGACTAGCTGCAGATCAGTCCAGTTATGAAGGCGGTTCTTAAAATATTGCCGAACACCAAAGCACTTCTACGTTTACGTCCAAATAAACATGAATCTCTGTGTTCCTATCACTGGGTAATTAGAAGCAGCTTTTAGGAGTCGACCTCAACAGTGACCCGGCCCCCACAGAGCACCGCAAGGGTCAAAATGCATTATTGGCACACATATATTAGAAGACCTAACTGGATAGAAATCACATTCAGATGCTTTTGGTTACTGTTAGCGACAACAAACCCCAAATCCCCACTTCACAGAAACACCAAACGCAAACTGACAAGTCTGCAGACCGTGTTCCATATTTTCTAATTTGAGTTCGCTTTTAGAGACAAACAGAAATGCAGGTTATCTTACATGTTATATTATTCTAACATTATTCTAAGAAAAGCTTTCAAAGTATTTTTTCTCCTGCTACCTTAACTCTGAGATTTCCAAAAGGTTGCAAAAAATTTCATCATCTTGCTGGCAGAAAGAGGTTGAAAGCTCAAAAAGATGAAAACCCATTTTTGTTCTTTTAATAACTTCTTCCATCTGTGAGCTTCCGCTGTTTGTTTTCAAAAGCCTTTTTGGTCAAACAAACAGCTAACCTCGAATCTCCTTCTCTCGGTATTGACATCTACATGGAAAAGTGTTGTTGTCGGTGCAACCTGGTACCTCTTACATTATCTGCAACCACAGAGCAAATTTAGGTGACAACTGGGCAATTCCAATCAAGAGTAGGATAGTCCAATGAATCATACATTTAACAAGCTATCTGCTAAGTTTTAATTAAGCATTTGAGGATTATGAATTCAATATCTCAATGCCAGAAAACATTTGATGATGCTTTTCGTTAGCTGCAGATAAAGATGCTTAAAAGAGGACAATCAAATCATTAAGAAGCTGCATCAAGATTGTTTCACATAAGATGTTGTTAAGGTGGAAATAATGAGCCCAATTTATTTTTTTAGTATCTATACAGACTCGTTGCTATCTGGGTTCTGTGTTTGCTTCTCAATGTTAGTTATGTAGTTGTACATATTTAGTTTAAGTACTGTATTTGTTTACTCAAAATAATCCACAGTGTCTTCACAATATTCATTGATACCTTTATTTCATGTATTTTCTAATATCCTGCACCCATTTCTTGGTCCATCTCTACAAAATTCTTCAAAGTAAGGTTTTGGGGAGCTGCACTTTTTTGCAGCACTCAAGCAAATATCCTTTGATATCACCATCTTCTTAGTCTGTTCGGCTGTTGTCTTGCATCCTAAACATCTTTTTTAAAATTCATCTTTTTTTAAAATTAGGGCTCTTATTTGGATGTGAAACCCGTCTCTACTGCTCTAAAATGACAGCATCATTTCCTATTCAAAGAATTAGAAATGGTGACACTTAATAGCCGCAGGAATTTCAAATAGCATCCAAATAAGAAAAGTTTTTCTCTGTAGAAAAATAGCTCATTAGATAATTTGTCAGACATCATGACAAGACCAGACGATCTTGGGCATATTAATTCATTCAACTATTCAAAAAGGGCAATAACTGCTCATTATTTCATTTTGGAGCTCAATTGTTATCCATAAAAAGCCACAAAAAACAACAACTAAAGCACTTTAGCACTTTAAGCCATGATAACCATTTCTGAGATTGTCACTGAGAAACACCAGTGCACTGAGTAGGAGTCGAGCCAGAAACTGAGACATCACAATCACTGGTAACACAATACTGCCTCGACAGCTCCCCAAAATGCACACAATTACCTAGACGCCTGCCTATAAGCAAGCCCAAACACAATCAGTCATAAATCCCACATACAGACGAGCAGAAGAAGATTATGTAGGAGAGGAAATATGCCTGCTGAGATTATAATTATAAATCTATGAGCTGATTATGACTATGGTTAGAGTTGGTAATCATCATCAGAGCCGCTTGTAGCATTGGTGATTAGAGGCAAGCATGCGTGTCACTCACTGAACAGGCAGCCGAGCTGTGTCCTGCTCTGCTCTGGCAAAGACGATCATGTTTTACAGGGGATATGGAAAATCTCGAGGAAGTTGTGAAGAAAAAAAAGTCTGTGTTCAAACCCAGCAGGTTTTATCACTTCCATATGTAGACCAACCTAAAGTATGCTCTGTATGTTCACAGAAACCTATTCCTGGAGGCATAGGTTTTTAAAAAGATGATAATACATGCATCGTATTCCAGAAACAAATCGACTGAGTAAAGGTGAGGCTGGAGCTCTGACCTTTCTGTGCCTCCTCGAAGCGATCGTTTTCAGCCAACCACTGGGCGTAAGGCACAAAGACGTCATATTTGAACTGTGGGTGCTTCTCCACCAGCGAGAAGGCCTGGATGATTGACAGTTGAGAGGACAAAGGAAACATTACTGTTAATAGAGCATCAGTGTTCAGTTAGTTGGTACAAGATAGAAAACATGGTTAAATGGCCTGGGGCAGGTAAAGGCCCAGCTGTAACTCATTAGGGAAAAACAAGTTACTGTACATTTTTTATAAAAAACACACCTAACCTCAAGTCAAAACATTTCTACAACATTATTAATTAACTGAAAACAAAGAGGAATGTACAAGCAAAGCTGGCTTCACACTCGGTTACAACTACAACCGCATCACCGTTTGAATGACAGGAAATAAAGAGTTGCTGTGGGGCCCAGTGAACAAAAATTTGCCTTACAAAGTGACTAATTAAGTTCGATGTCCTGTGGCATAATGAGAGCCAAGAAACACAAATGGCTCACACCAAAAGTTTTGAGTGCGGTCTCAAAGTCATTTAAAAATACTTTGCTTGAGAGAAAAATGACATCCATATGATGTAGCAAAGTTTGTGTTGTGGTCTGGCTGCCTTGTTTCCCACCTCCCTGGGAGAAGCACATAAAACCAAAGTGTTCCCTAAACCTCTGACACCCTCCTCATGTTTTCTCCTTTCTCGCTCTCTGAGGATTAAGAAATACTCCAAGAACCATGTCTATGAGATTTGATGTTCTGCTTTTGGCTCTAGTGATTCCAAATGCAAATCATCCATATGCATCTCTGCACTGCCTTTAATTTGATTACATACTGCAGATGGATTAAAGGAATGCAGTACTTTCCTTTCCTATGAGCGGCATGATCTGCTGTGACTCAGGAGAGTGATTGAAAGTTGAGTACAGTTTCAAGCTGATGCAGGATGTTGTTTTGAACTTCTCACAGGCTCATCATAATGTGGGCATGGATTCAGAGAAATCAGCATCTCGATGATCGGCTCTGGAGGGTCTGTGGTTTCATTTGTCAGTAAATGAGGAAATCAGGCGGACATGTCTTCTTGTTTGTATTCAGCCATGGTTACTCTGCTATTCTGACAAACTGTTGGAGTTCCCGGCCAAACTAAACAAGCCATAAAATATAGTTTACTCTGTGGCTCATGAAGCACTTTATTAACAACAGTTTTATGTTACTATAGTGCGGGGGGTTCATAAACATTTTTTCTGCCAAATGTGCTATCTTTTTCAGACTTGAATGTGTATAGTTCTCAGGTTATTTTCATTTCTATTTTCAAGTAAGTTAAGTCAAAATACAAAAAAAATACAATGTAAAAAGTACAAGTAGAACCTATGAGAAGATGTTTATACCTGAAAACTGAATGATTATGATAAAATGTGCACCATATGTTCCAATCAATAGTAGTAAAACACTTATTTTTTTATTTCTAGTTTTTTTTAATCCACACATTTACAATGTATGTGATGAGAAAGGGAATAAACCTGAAAAAAATCTATTTCTCTATTCTTTCCCTCAGTAAATAATTCAATCAAACTGACAACTCTCTCAAGACTTTTCTGCATACGATGAGTCATCCTGATGAGCTGAATAAGTGTCTCAGACCTCTTCCCAGTGTCTCGTCTCCACGTGGAGCTGCACCAAAGCCTTCAAGTCACCCATCTTGGAATAAGTCTCTGAGGCATAGCCATGGTGTCTCAGCCTCTTAAAGTGCATCGCACACTTCGCCAGCGGTTCACGCTCGGCCTTGTCTAGCTTACGGGCGATGTCGATCAGCCTACATGAGAAGAGGGGAATAGGTACACAGATAGGGTGAGTGCAGGTAAATCAGCAGCTTGCCGCCGACTGCATCATGCTCATGACCCTGGAACGAATTTTAATCAGTCAGGGTCCGAACCTGAATCTGATTCAGGTTAAAGAGCTCTGACTGTGCTGAGTCCCCCTGATCCACCTGTAGCACCGTAGGATGATCGCAACACGTGCACAGTGTGTCAGATGGAGGCAGCAGGAAGACTGAAGCAGCCACCACTTATCTATTTGTCTACACAGAAAAGTGACTGTAACCTAACAGAGACGTGACTGTCATTTCTTTCCTTCAGCATGCTGAATACTTGCAATAATTTGAATTTTGGAAATATGAGCAGGATATTTCTTTGTAAGTATGAAGGACTAAAGTCTAACTCTTAAAAGCTATGATAAAAACAGGTATGTTTTCCTACAAACTAATAAAAATGTGTGTATTGATAACATAAAGATATGTCAGGGGAAAAATATCTCCTAAAGTGCAAGACACTTACATGTCAGCCCAGCCGTGTTCTCCAATAATATCTATAGCTTTCGCATGTTCTCCTGCCGACAGGTACATTTCAGCTGCGGCTCGTGGCTCCTTGCTGCATTTAGCCCAATCTGCCTGCTTCGTTATTAGTAACTTCGAGCTCTGTGGATCTGTAGCACCAACAAACTCCTGCAAAGAGAGAAATCAAATTACTTACGTGACATAGAAATGCTGAGTTATCCATTATGATCATTGCTAAATATTGTGAAAACAGTTAAACATATTAAATTTGCTTCCTTAAAATGAATTGTGTCCTGAAAAAGAATAAAATAAATATATCGATAGTATTGATTAGTTACATGTGACCTAATCTACATAAACAATTTTTTTGAGTTTTGACTTTTTAATAATGACAACAGAAGGCAGTGGCAGCATCATGCTATGGGCATGATACTCATCAGCAAGGGGCCAGAAGTCTGGAAAACATTATTAGAAAGGAGCATGTAACTAAATATAAGCAATTCTGGATGAAAACTTGTTATATGCTGCAGAATATTTGAGACTGAGGTAGACTTCCAGCAGAGGCTACACAGGGCTACAATGAAATTAAATTTAAAATTCAAATTCAAACATACTTTATTTATTTTTATTTCTGTCTTAGATCAGTCTAGTCAAAGTCCAGACTGGCAAAGTACTCTGTGAAGAAGAGTGGTGTTTCTATAGAGTTTTAACTCAAGAAAAGGAATTACATAAAACAGACTTATCAAATTTTCCTTTGTAAAGAAAATGTTCCCTCCATTTCACAATCATGCAGTGCTTTGTGTTGGTTTATCATTTTAAATTCCTGTAAACTACATTAACTTTGAAAATATAAAGTACCAAAAAATAACACAACTCATTGAGCATAATTCTGCAAGCAATTTCTATCCACCTAAACCAAACAGGATCTTATTTCCATTGGAAAATAATGTCACTTTCAGTATCTCAATACTAATCTTTAGAGAGAGCAAACAACAATGCTCAGACTAAACCATTTAAACCATTCAAGCTGTGAAGGTCTGAGGCAGAAGGAAGCGAGTCGGACAAATATCAGGCATCTCCTCGGCCTTTCCCTCCGGTGTCCTTCCTTCCTAAAACAAACAGGCTGTGTGGCCATCTGGCCACACAGTCATAAAAATATACAGCTGCCACATAGCACAGATACAATCTGATACACACATGCATGCAGAAATATTCATGAATAAGTCGTGGCTGTGTCATCTTCCTTAGAAGTAAAATGTAATACCTGTGTTAAAAAACACTCCCACAGGAGCATCAAAAACAGAACGTATATATTCAGTTTGTAGGTACATTTTTTTGTAGTTTAAATAATAACTATTTAGGAGGGCCATCCTTGTGTTGTCCCAAAGTATTTGTGTAAAAGTGTGGCATCTGTGTAATGATCAGATGATGTATGATGTAATTCCGGTGATGTATGAGGAGATGAAAGACAGACGGCTAAAGGGGCCTGTCTGAACACGGCACAGGGCCCCAACTTGGCATTTCTCCACATAATAAAGAAAAGCCACATGTTCTCAACTCATACAGCTTGCAGTACCTCACAGGGCTTTTTGGTTTGTGTTTGTAAAAAGCTGAGTTGCACACAATTTGCTGTGACTTTGTCAGTAAGCGCTTCAATCACCTTGGCGTACTCGAACATGCGCAGGTCGGTGTACATGCTCAGAGCTTTGGATTCATGGCCGGCACGTTTGTAGAGCTTAGCTGCCTCGCGGAATTTCCCCTGGAAGGCATAGACGTCTGCCAGGAAGAGCTCATTGTCGTTCTCGCCCCGCTTCTTCCTCTCCTACAAATCAGTCAACATTAACTGTGCGTGGACAAACAGTCAACTGCATGTACACACATCTGCACAACAGCTAGGAATACAGAAATATTCACTCCCCTCCATTTCTTTTCACATTTTGTGTCACAGATGCAAGCTAGCATTAATCCAGCTGCTAAATAAAGGCCGTAGAACTTTGTTAGACAACATAAATGAACAAACACCATCATTAAGATCAAGGAAGCACAGCAGGAATCAAATGAAGAAGCGTAAAGCAGGCTTTGAACATCTCATAAGCCGTGTAGGGAACACAGCAAACATCTGGCGGAGGATGCTCATGAGAGTAAATTGTAACTTTTAGCTCTGCATGTATCATGGAAAACTGCACAGCACATCACTCTGAACAACCCATTCTCACAATTAAATATGGTGGTAAATATGGTGGTAAATATGGTGACACAGCCCATCATGCTTTGGGCTGTTTTTCTTCAGAAGGGGCATAGAAGCTGGTCAGAATTAATGAGAGGTTGGATAAACTTAATCACAGAACAATGTTGAAACATCTGAGAGACGATAAAAAGAGCTACAAAGGAATGATTTAGATCAAGGCACATTTCTGTGTGTTAGAATGGCCTAATCAAAGGCCAGACAATGATTCTGCAGAGAACACAGAAAAGTGAGCTTTATGGACACTGTCCAGCCAATCTGACTGAACTTGAGTTGCTTTCTAAATGACAATGATTTTCTAAATGCTCAATGCTGATTTGATGTAAACAAGAACAGACTTGAATCTGTGACTTCATCAAAATGTCACAGGTTCAACAGAAATGGGAAAAATAAAATAAAACAAAACTAAAAATCTCATTCTGCTTTTCAAATGTTCATTTAAAAAAGCATGCATCCTCCTATTTCTAATTCACAATAATGTAATATTGTGCTGGTCTATGACATATAATCCTCAAGTAGTACAATGAAGTTTGTGACCAAAATGCTCACTCGACACAAATATACATTACCTGTTATAAGGTGATGTATAATTTAATGGGAAGACAAGACAAAGATGAGAAGGGCATGCATGTATGAGTTATGTATGGTTTTTTTTCTTTCCTCTGATGAACAGACGTTACCTCAATGCTGCTGATCAGCTCCAGGTAGCGCAAGTCTCTTATTCTAATAAAGGCCTGAAAATGGAAAAACAGCGTGATTAAATTAATGTTTTTCTTATAATCAGATTAATTCTGTTTGCATCACTAGCTTCAGCTTCTTCAAAAGCCCTCTTTAGAGAGTAATTAACCTCTTGAGCTACAGACTATTTTATAAATTCCTCACCTGAAGAAACCTTTTGACATTCAGTCTAAAACAGCTCAACAACTTAACTAAATAACTTGGGGCTCATGGAACAAAAAAACCTTTGGCATTATTTGAAATGAAGCAAATCTTCTTATCGTTAAGCACTGGCAACAAACAAAAGCTCATGCAAAAAAAGAAGACTTCAATTTTGCTTTCACTTCAAACAAAGCTGTAAATTATAAACGGAGTATAAAAACAATAAGTATAAACATAGTGATGTGATTTAAGGATATCCTCATCTGTTGCAAATTAAGCATAACAAACACAATAAAATCTCTGTTTTAATGAAACTAAAACATGTGAAATGCTTGGAAATTTTATTTATTTTTTTAAATAGTGATGGATGTGTATTTCCAGCAAATGCAAACCAAAAAGAACATGAGAAGCAAGAAATTTAAAACGCTGTTCCACTGTTTATTTTGCTCCTTGGAAAAAATCCAAAGATCTGTTTCCGTGTTTCAGAGATAAACTCCATTGAGGAAGGCTGTGCATGAATGTCTGCTATTGTTTATATTTTTTTTGCTGATTCAACTAAATGTACCAATCTTGTGTGTGATAATGACACATTTCTTAAACTGGTGTGTCTGACTCACCTTCTTGGCAGTTTCAAAGTCAAGTCCCTCTAGAGCTTCTGTGGCTAAATCCCTCCAATCACTGTCTGTCACACCAAGACAGGCGATCCGATAAGCTTCCTTAAACATCTTCTTCTCGAGGTATTGGTACATGGGTGCAGACTGGGCAGAGAAAATGTCACAGTCTCAGAGAGTTTTACATTTTTCCATCTTACAAATGACAATCTTCAACTTTTTTTAATTGATATTTTATGCTTCAGACCATCACAAAGTAGAACAATAAATTGAAGTGGAAGGTAGAGGAATATATGTAACGGTATCAAAGCGTTTTACATTTTGCCATGCTACAAATAAATATGAACTTTTTCTGTTGATATTTATGTTTTTTATTGATATTTGATACTTTAGACTAACAAAAAATAGAACAATATAGTCAAGTGGAAGGTAGAGGATTTGTAAGGCAGTTTTACACATTCTTTATAAGTAAAAATCTGAATTTGTATTCATTCCTCTTTACTTTGACAACCCTAAGTAATGATGAGAGCAACCAATTACATTCATAAATCACATAATAAGTAGATTTAAAATTCAACTGTTCTGTGAAGTGGCAAATATGCTCATAATAATACTGGAAGAGATGTGAAGATTCACATTTTATATGTCAGAATCTTGTATAATTTATGATTATCTTAATTTATGTATAAATTAAGATAAATTATCCACTCTCTAAATCTTTCTATTTTAGACTCAATTTACTTTCGAGTTGAACAAAGATCCTAAACATACGCCCAGAGCTACAATGGCAGAGTCAAAGTCTAGACCTACCCTAATAGGGAATTGCTGGCAAGATTTGAAAATTGTTGTTAATAGAGGCTCCTTGTCAAATCTCATTTCTGCAAAAAAAAAAGATGGTCGAAACACCAATCTAAAAGCTGGTAGAGACAAACTCTAAAAATGTTGTACTAAATTATAAAGTGTTAACTCAGATGGGCCAAACACCCGAGCACGCCACAATATTCAAGTTCTTACAGGAAAGTTATATGAAACGACCATAACTATGTTTGTTCATCTTATTGGGTTGGTCTAACACACAAAGTCTCCATAAGAAAATTTAAAGCTTGAGGACGCAATGTGAGAAAATGTGTAAGAGTTGCAAACCAGTGAAATATTTCTTCTCAAACAAATAACCTTCAAGACATTTTGACCACTATCTCAAGGTTGTGCTATAAAACTCTTAGTTACTGCAGAGGAAACCGTCACTACATCTAGATTAAAACAGGCCAACAAAATACAACCCACCTGAGGCACCTCGACAGCAGACATTGAATAGACGTGGAGACAGAATATTTTCGAGCCATTGTAGCCAACCATAAAACCCTGCATTTTCTGCTGGTGCACAGGAAAGTTGCTCGCCTTGATGTTCAGGTACCCGTTCCCAGAGAAGCACAGCATGTCCTCACACTGGGTGTTCCAGGCAACACTGTTAGCATTAGGCTCCTACAGAGAAAATATGACAGGATCTGAGAAAGTCAAGGTGTGAGGCAACTGGGAAACAAAGAAGAGCCAGAAAGACATACTTCAAAATTAAAGTCTCCCTGCGCTGCTTGCAAAAACTTAACATGCATCCACGTTTTCTTTTTTTTTTTTCAGACAAGCTGATTTTGCGTAGTCCGTTCAGAAACCTTTCAATTTGCTGTCCTTGAGATGTTTTCCCATACTGCTTTTGACAAACCTGAAAAAGTAGTTCTTTGCTTTTGATGTCATAAACGAGGAGGGTGTTACGTTCATCCACTACAGCCAGCTTTTTGCGGGACGCGCTCATGTCCAGGCAGCGCACTGACAACGACAGCTTCAGCAGCATTATTGGAAAGGGGTTGTCGATAAATATCTTCAAGATCTACGTCACAAAATCAGAACAAAAAAAAAATCTGAGCAGATTAAATGCTTGCTGTGATTCAGAGGGACTTTCAACCTGTGGGCCTTTCACAACAACTCTTAATAACTGCTTATAAGTTATATATATGTCATGAAAGCAATAACTCTACTAATAAATACAGTTTTTAGTTGTTTTTCCATTCTTTATAAAATAATTGTATTAAATGCACACATGAGAACAAAAAAAATTATTTCCATATAATGAGTTTTAAAACGTTTCTTGTCATTGGCCTGGAAACTGTGATTTTGTACTTCACATAATTTTTCACAAATAACATCCCATAGAATAAATAGTATTAATTCTCTTTTTGTTTCTTTATTTCAAATGCTAAAAACAGTAATAAAAAGCTGTTTCTTTTTTTAAAAAATTGCAATATATTTCCTTTTTTAGATTTTTATTTTAAAAAATCGCAGGTGTTTTTTTTTTTTTAAATGTCACATAAAATTTCAGTTTCTGAACACATTTTATTTAGCTGAATTGAGGGCAAAAATGGCTTTTTGGCGGGTAACAGTTGCAGTGTTCGATGATAGACCAACACAAATGAGTGCAAACTGGGAGAAAAAGCTATTTCATACTTTGAAAGGTCTGAAAGTCTGTAGTGCTCTGTATTTAATACCCTGTTGTCTGGCATTCTTAAATAATGTCACTTAGTTTAACTAAGGTGAAATATGGCAGTGATATTGTTCAGAAGGACAAGTAAGCTTATCAAAGTTGACAGGATGCATGCATCATTTCAATTCAATTCCTTTTCATAGCTACAGATTCACAACAACCATCTTTACATTTTACAAGACAAAACGTTTCAGTTTCTCAAAGAATTGTTAAAATTGTCCCTTAAAAAGGGACACGGTGTGTAGATCTGTGTCTATGGCAATGCTTACTTAGTAACATTGACTTTTTGCTGTTCCTGACCAAATCTCGATGAATTAAAACTTCAGACCTGCATTCAACCGAGATTCTGTGACAAAAAATATTAAACAGATTTTCACACATTCTCTCTCTTCAAACTGACTGAGTTTGAATTATTTTCTAAAGATAAAAAGTCATAAAGTTCAGCTTTTTTACATGTGTGAAGATGGAATAGACGTACACCTAAAGACCGCAGCCGCTACAGCACCAAAATGGCTTTTTATTAAGTGTTGCGTGAGAGGCGCTAAATACAAATGCATAACACATTCGGACATTCATTTATCAAAAAGAAATTTTCAAAACATTTCCTCCATAATTATGGACTACTCTGTGTTCATCTATCATATAAAATCCCAATAAAAGACACTGAAGTTTGCCATTGTACCAAAAGCAAAGCTACAGATATCTTCGCAAGACATTGTAAATTTAGCATTTCTCTAAATTCCTAGAGAATTGACATAAGGGAATGGTTACCATTTCAGAGTTCCTGTAGGAGAAATCATTGTCTTTAAGTACTCACAGCTCCATTTTTTAACCCCACAAGCAGACCCTCTTTGCATGGCGGACCACCAATCACTTTGATGTAACGAATCATAGATTCCATCACCCATTCTTTTTCCTTGACACCGGCAAAAGACAGGCATTGGAGCCTTTTCTCCTGTGCAGAGCATAACAAGTAATATGAAACCACAATTATATACAGTCCTGACTAAAAGATTCATTATGGCAAAATTGCGGTTTTAGCTCAATCATTTCATGGGCTATTAATCATAGCAAAACAAACTCATATAACTCCAATAAATTGCAGCATGTTGTTCTTTTAAACACGGCAAAGGGTGTTTCAATGTCAGAAAGCAATTTTCCAAAGATAAACAATGATATAATCTACCAGGAGCATGCACAGCACATATATATGGAATACGATCTGTCTGGGGCATGAAACACAAGCAAGTCCAATAGAGAGATCTAAAGCACTCCTGTCACACAAAGACAAATTTAAAAGGAAATAACCTCAGCGCTGTTTCTCAGCCCCACCAGACGCTGTCAAACACAGACGAAAAACAGAGGAACCCTCCAAAACAAAAAAGATAACCCTTCCAATCCATTCAAACTGTCTTTTTTTATCCACCCAGTTTGAAGAGGGTTGCAAAAGGGGGAGAGGCGCGTGCTGCCAATGTAGATAGGAACACAAGTACAGCTGGGGTCTCGTGCGAGCTCGGCAGAAACATGTGGAGAAGCAGCGATTCAATTCCTGGGTTGCGTAGGTTTGGAGTAAATGCTTTAACACTAATTCATTCTGACTTCATCATCTTAATGGCGTCCTAATGTTTGTACAGCTACAAAGGTCAAAAGAATTTAGCAGAGAAACTAAAGAAGGAAATGTTTCATTATGAAAGAAGCCAAATACAAAACAGGTGGGTCAAAAGCAAGTTTAATAAAATTATTTGATGGGCTTTGCAAAGTTTTTAATGAATTCGAGAATAAAAAAAAAAAAAAAAAACTCCAGACCTGACAGAGAATGACGTGCTGGGAGCAAACCACCAGCAGGTTGCACTCAAACTTTTTGCAGATTTTGTCAGTAATGCGGTATTCCATGGTGGATAAGTCGTCCGTGCAAATGTTGATCTTCTCGGGTAGCTGAATGGCCAGGCGGTTTCTGTAGATGGCGATTTTCTTTACCAACTCATGGCACTTGATTCTCACTAAGTAACATAAGAACATGGGTGGAGAAAATTTTCAAAAGACAATATAGAAATTGCTTTTAAGACAAAAAAAAGTGTATGTTTTCTTTTAAGAAAATGTATAAAAACCAGAACAATCTTAAAAAAAAAAAAAAACAGGGTTCCTATAAGCTTGCTCGACTCTGATTTTGAGAATTTTGTCCTTTATAAACAGAAAATGTAATTAGACTTTTTGTTACACTTTAAATATGGTTTAAATATGGCTCCTTCTACCCTAAGAGGAAGAATGATGGATGGGAAAGTCTGAAAAAAACTAATGTTTTTTCATATTCTATGTTTTTCCAATAGACTCTGATTTTTAAGACTTAGAAATCTTAAGAAAACTTAAAAATCAGATTCTGAACTTTTCCAGACTGTGTAGGAACCCAGCCAGACTTAAGACTCTTATGTTGGTAATTACCTTCAGTTCAATTCAAAACTATTTTATCCAAATGGAATGGCAATAATCTCCAAAAAAAGACTAGTAATAGAGTGAAAGTGTAATTCCATCTCTACACAACTGATTCAGGTCAATGTGATGCTGAAAGACACCCAATCCATGATTTACTAAAGCATCTTAACATCCCTTCAGTCATAAACTAAGCTGCATGATGTAGGTGCAAAGTTTTACGGTTTTGCTCAGTGATGAGGTCCTGCACGATGACATTGGTCATGTTGTCTCTATAGGCGTAGAGGTCTTTATAGAGGCCGTGAACTGTTGTGAAGTTAAGTTGGTAGCAATAGATGGTCCCATCCTGGCAGCCGCACACCTAGATAAGAGACAACAATGTAGCAGTACATTCTATTAACACCTCTAAGAAAAGACTGAGGGAGTGGGAAAATGTTCCTGTTGTTAAAGCCTCTATACTGCCGAGCTGCGAGAAACTGCCAGGAACCAATTCTCTCCTCTGTGCCTCATCACTTTCAGTTAAATATAGTGAGAGGAAAAGCTGTAAAAGAGTGACTGTAAAATGAAATAGCTTGTGTATCTGTGTAGTTAAAAACTGTATTATCACAACTGGAAAAAAAAATGTATCGCTTTCTCTGTGACATGCATTCCTACTCAGGGGCATGGAAAAGTGAGGTTTCGTTGAGATATGTGGAACAATGTGATATGGACCCACCACATAGTTGGAGTCAGGCTTAACTTGGCATGTCCACACCCATGCTTTATGCTCTCCAATGGTTCCTAACCGCACACCGTCTTTAGTATAGAGGGACACCTGTTTGTCAGAGCCACCCATCACAATGTACTCGCCCTTGGAGAAGTAGCTGATGCAACAAGGGTCGTAGTTTAGAGTTCTCTCTTTTAAAACCTAAGGACGACAAAGAGAGAAGAGCACATTAAAATCAGGAATAAAACAAGCATGTCTTGTATTTATTGCTCAGGGGCCTGAGCCAGCACTTCCTACTGTCTGGGCCGGCACACTTCAAAGTCCTCACTATATGCAACTATCCCTTTGAATCTGATGAAAAGAAAGACAAAAAAAAAGAAAAAAAGAAAAAGGGAGCGTCTGTGGTTAAAAAAGCCTCTATTGTATTAGAGTTCAAAGTCCATTTGTACAGCATCATATCAGGTCTCTCTATTCTATCCATTTGTTTTTTTTCTCACCGAGTGGAAAAGGGGGGACTCCCTGACAACTGCTGCTTATTTTCTTTCTTTGTGAGCGATCCCTGGTGTTGTAATCAAAACAGAATGTTCATTTAAACTGATAAATAGGGAGATGACAATGGAAAAAGCCTCAGATATACCAGAGAGAAATGAACAGTTGAGATTTGTCTATAATTACAATATTGCCCACAGAGAATTGAAGAGGAAGCAGTGAGTAGGCCAATAAAGCATAGCAGGATCACCTCCCGTGTGCTGTCATGGTTTCAAAAGACCTCTACAGTCAAAATACAGCTGATTCTAAACTCAGTCAAGAATATCCTGTGAGGTTTAGGGTTGCACCAATTTATCTGCAAGATGGTTTATCTGCAAGTTTGATTTCTCAGCCCCGATTTCCTCAATTTTAGGAGATTGGTGATTGGCTGATACTTACATGTGAAGCTGATCTTATCCACCAATCTTATCTATTTCAGCTAAAGTCTAAAAACCAATACAGTTCTCTTTTTGCCCTGCTGTAAAAGAGCTGACCACCATACACACCCACCAGGACCTGTCTGCATGTTTAGTCACCTCACTGTTGTTAACTCAATGTGGTGCAACTGCTATATCTTGCAACATTTAAGACAAAAAAAAAAAATTATTGGCCAAAATCGGAAAGCCAGGCCTTTTAAAGATTGATAAACTGCAGTCGGTCAGAAAACTGCAATTGGTGCACCCCTACTAGGGTTACACCTACAATATTTTAAAAAGTCACCTGTTATTTCTGGTAAGTTACAGACTACCTGGTGTCCTGTAAAGATGGAATATTAAATCCACTTGAATTTATAGAATGTACAGATGCATCTAAATGTATTAGACTTTATTAAACAATGACTTATTTCACTCGTTAACGTCCAAAACTGAAACTGAGATTACATACTGAGTGATTTTAAGAATTTTTTTTTGTTGTTGTTATTGATTATAATGGTTTACAGCCAAATACAGTATGTCAGACTATTAAGAAATTCCATGAAACTAATAAATGTTTATTAGTCAAAATATCTATCCTAATTAAGCTGGCTGTAGCCAAGCATTTTAATGGAAGATGTAGAAGAAAGAAGTGTATACAAAGTGTACAAGCAAAAATAATCAGAGCTTTGAGAGGACTGTGAAGCAAACCCCTTCAAGAGTTTGGCTGAAAATATGTTGCATTCATTCTGCTGTCAATATTTTCAATATTTCAAAATTTAAGTCGGAAATATGAGGTATTAAGCTGCATTCGGGAAGAGAATATTTATAGCAACAATTACTGACATTCACCTGTTTCCCACTGAGCTGGTAGAAGGAGAGTTTCTGACCCCAGTCTGCCACAGCCAGTGTGTCGTGCTCATCCCTGTGAAGCAAAAACAGCGTAGCCATTGGTGCTGATATGTATAGCCTTTTGAGCTGATAGCAGCTTTGGTTGGTTAAGTAATGACAACACTGAAAACCACAGACGCCAATTTTCATTTTAAAGGTTTCCCCTGAAAGTGACAAGCAGGCAACAGGAAGCTTTGTTATGTTTCATCCTAATCTCATTTGTACTTACAAAGAAATATATGACATGGTAAGCGGATGTACCTATTCATCGTGTCAAATGTGTCGCTGTATGGTTCCAAGGAAACTAAATCCCTTAACGCCTTAAAACACAACTTCTTTGCAGAAACACCTAATGCTAATTTTTAAACAAACTATTATTGTTTATGGATTATTTCATTTGCTGACACTTAAAACTAACTTTGCACATTATTTTTGTATTGCTTTATTTTTCTCCAACGAACCCAGTCAGAGACGGGCTCCTGGTTTTGGCAAGAGGGGGAAGCAGAGAACTGAGACACTTCCAAATAAGCATCATAATCTCCCTCACAGTTCAACCACTCTAATGTCAACTACTGCCACCTGCTGGCCTCACTTAAAATACGCAATTTACAGTCAATAAATCCACGGTGCTAACTACACAGACAACACAGGATGGATGAAATAAAAAAAAAACAGAATCAACATTTCGCATGGATGTTATGATGCAGTAACTAAGAATCACTAACCTGGATGGATTCCACGCTATTGACCAGATTGGGGATAAAGATCCTCCTGGACGCTCTATCTTGACCTTCTCCTCTCCATTCTTGTTCCGTATGCTCACCACACCATTCATCATGCCAAGGGCAAGGTACTGCCCATCGTTTGTCCACCTGAAGTTTAAATAAACTCTAGTTGAAGCGTCAATGTTTTGCATGAAGAGATAAAAAGTGTTTCATGAAAGTCGAGAAACAACTTACCCACAGCATGTTATTCTGCTACTCACTTTATTCTTGTTTACAGATTTTTGTTCAGGGGACCACAGACCTAAAAAATATGAACAGATAATGCTCACTTTGTGATTCTTCTTTAAAGAATAACTTCTAATCAATCAAGCTAATGCATAATATGTGATTGACGGGACACTCACCAAAGTCACCAGATGAACAGGAAGCAAGTTGGTGAGTGATTGGATTGTAGGCAACACACTGGATTGCATCGTTGTGGCTGCAGATAAGGTCAATAAAAAAAAAAAGGTGAATGGAATGAAAGCACAGTGAACACCAGGATGTAAAAGTAGACAATTACGTCTCATTCGAAAAGAAATGTTCTTCATGAGGGATATATATGTTTCATGCCAGGGAGAGAAACATATTTCCATATTAACAGACAATTATTTCTAGCATTTTCTTTGGATAACATAACCCAGTTTTCAGTTTTAAATGAACAGAAACTTGATTCATTATAGGTTACAACAAGGGATGGGAACTGTTCCAAAACAGAAAATTCAGCAGGGTTCAAGTAGTTTTCAGTGCAATTGAAATATGGCTTCAGCAAACATTTCTGAATTGTATAGCTTGATTGTGGGAAGAGATAACATTATCCCAAGGTCCTCTCAAGGCCATGTAGCTATCCCCTAGGATGATGGCCATACGTTTAGCGCCACCTGAAGGCTTAAATGTGCAATGGACAGAGATTTTCAACCTTTAGGCCTCTAAGGATTTTGTAGACTTTTGCATTTTTACGGTGCCTTATAAAATAATTTCTATTCTGTTGCTTAACCTGGATTTTATCTGGGAATGTCAGAGTGAAGTGAACGCAAATGCACAACAAATTTTGCAGATTAAGAATTATGTCAGCTTGTGCAAATCTGTATAAATGCAGTGTTGTTTGTGTTTGCAATCTGACAAAATGAGATAGCAGTCATTAGGCTGTTGCCAAATATCCTAGTTTTGCTTTAAAAGATAGTACTTAGGTCTTTGGAACATGATCTGTGAATTGTTGGTGTGTAAACAAACTGAATCAAAGGGATATTTATTGGCTTTGTTAAGTCATTAACCCCTACACAACAACATTAAAGACAAAATAATGCAATTACTCTTGAAAAGTAAGGAGAACTTATTAGAATAATAAAAGCACTTACGTATATCTTAAAATACCCTCCAGTTTAGAAGTCCAAATGATAATGCTTTTGTCTGCAGACCCTGAGGCAAACCTCTTACCTGCACAAAAACATGGATCCTAATGAGATGAAGGTGAATAAGATACAGAAAGTCCTAAGCATTCAAACAGAAAACCGACTCAGTACCATCTCTGGCATAGGCCACACAGTACACTGTATCGCTGTGTCCTTTTAAAGGCTGAATAATAGTCCCATCTTTGGCATCGCAGACCTGGAAACAGAAACCATAATTTGTTACAGCAATGCATTCTGCAGAGATGTCCATCGCCAGGAAAAGATAAAAGGTGAGCCTTACCAGCACACGTTGCCCTGCAGCCATTATAATTTGGCTGCCATCTGGCTTGAAGGCCAGGTCATAAACACTGCAGTAGAGAAAATTGTTTGAAACGTTTGTTTTCACAAGATTGATTGGTCGATTAGCAACAACGCGCAGTCATTTATCAGTAAAAATCCCATATTGCAGTTTTAATGTTGAGGGTGACCCCTAAAAGCCCTTGAGAATGTTGTCTTATAAGTGTATTTTTCTTATTTTTATCTTGTGCATACAAAGAAGCAACATCAACGTAAACGAAGCTGATAACTCACAGCCCTGAAGAGAGATTAAAACTGCTATGCATCCAGAGAAAAAGCAGGATGTATAACAGCCATAGGGGAGAGGAGTAACAAATAGTTTACTCTCCACCCATGAGCATTTTTCTAATGATCTTTTTAAAATGCTCCCATAATAAAAAATAAATAAATAAACATAGTCTGCAATAATAATGTAAAACTCTAACTGATCATGTTGCATGCCTAAAAATCTGACAGAATTATAGTTATTTTAGTTGTGTGACATATTTTTCAACTTCCAGTTTAAGAAAATGTAATGTTTTATTTTTAAATATTGCAGACCATAAGGAATGACATGCAACACTGTACAGCTATATTTATAAAACGACAGAAAATGTTTCAATGACGTTCAAAGTCTGTATATGTTAAAGTCCCTCAGCAAACTGTATGCAAAAACGTGTAGGTAAAAGATAAATGTAACTGTGAAGTAGGGTTTCCTAAGTCTAAATAAATTATTAAAACGTGTAAATTGTTAAAACGAGAGTAAATTTTACAAATCAGAACATCAACAATGTGAAAAGGATTGTGAGTTTTAAAACTAGAAATTGTAAAAAAGAAAAAGAAAAAAAAAGGGTAAAAGGGACATAAGCTTTTTAAGGTCATAAAATGAAAACGTTCTCTTGTTGAGCTGCAGTGGTAATTAACCAGTGACAACGATTTTGGGGAAACATCAGATGCAAAGAAAACGCTTTGACAAAGAAAACATTTCAGTGAGACAATTGCGAAGAAACAAGACTATAGAATCTAGCTAGATCTGTGGCAATACACAGAGATTTCTCGCAAACTTAACAGCGACAAACTAGACGTTTTCATGCACATTTTTGACGTTTATAAGGTGTCCATCGTTTGCCTTTGATAAATAGCTACAAGCTAATGTAGCTTAGCTGGCTTCTACTAGTTTACATAGCAACCACCGTTGCTACCCAGCTAGCGTTATATCCTAGTTTCCGAGCAGGGTAAAAAATAAAATAAACACAAGGTTAGAGTTTCTTACCGATCACGAACCGTCTCTTTCCATTTTTCAATTGGCCTCATTTTCAGCTAATAACCAGAAAAAAAGACGAGCTAATTTTATTTTAAATCAACAAGTTATTGCAGTTCGGGTTTTCCGTTGTCAAGCTCTGCTCGGACTGCGCACGCTCAGAACTGCTTCCGAGTTTCTGCACATGCTCAGTTCCGCTCCACTGTTGACAACAAAACTTGATTCGGACCGCTCTGCTCCACAGCAAAATAAATTCGATGAATTCGGTAGGTGCAATTCACGAGTCTGACTGTAATTTACTCTCTTCGTTTGCTGTTGCATAAAAACAATGGAATAAAATGGCGCTTCTTCTGTGTTGCACAATGGATCCTTTTTTTCCCCTTTTTTTTACAGTAAAGTGTGTCTACTGTCATTTTGCTGTAGACATTTGAGAGGACAGGGTGACAACTGGTCTAAGCTGCCTTCCTGGTTCTGAGATTCCCGGTGAAAATGAGCTGGAAATCAGCCTAGACATGGATGTCCAGAGTAACAAGGAAGCACTACCGCATGGATGGATTAGAGAAGTGAGGCAGAGAAAATCTGGCAAGACTGCAGGAAAACTGGACGTGTACATAATAAGGTGATTCGATATAAAAAGATTAATTAATGTGTACTGCCAGATGCTTCATATATTCTATAAGCTTGTTGTTGAGAGTATCTCTTCCGACATCATCTGTTGGGACAGCAAAACCAGGAACCTAAAAAAAAGTTAGAGAAGACTGTTAAAAGAGGGCTGGTTTTGGGATCTGCTGTGGAATCTCTGGAGTTTATCACAGAAAGACTCTTCATCAAATGAACAACATTAGGGACAACCCTGAGTATGCTCTTCATCATCAGACTGACATACAACATTGTCACTCCAGGACGTCCTCAGATCCGCTGTAATACAGAACGCTGCAAGAGATTCTTTCTTCTCACAGCCAGCTACACAAACATTTCACTTTCTTGTGGAGTAATAATGAAGAACTTTTGAAGTGAAATTAATTAAACAGTGCCCAGCAGACGTAGGAGGCTAAACTTTATTTATTTACATGCACATGAGTAAAATCAATGACTAATCTATTTTTTTTGTTTCAGTCCCAGTGGGCAGAGGTTCCGGTCGAAGTCATCTTTGCATGATTATCTGTTAAAAAATGGAGGAGAGAACCTGGATGCAAACTTGTTTGATTTCACCACATCCAAAATTAAATTCACCAGCTCTGAAACGGATCATTCCAAAGAAACACAAGAGAAATGGACAAAAAAGCGAGCAAATGGAGAGCAGGCTAAAATAGGTGGGGAAGTGAAATCTGCCAGACATAAATTTAAAAACAGCTTTTCCTCTACCAGATGTAAAGTCAGCAAGAGCAAGGAAATTAGAAGTAATAATTTGCAAGAGGACACAGCCGAGGAGGCCGAGCAGATTACCTCACAAGCTACATCTTCATCAGACTTGGCGGATGATGATGATATACACAAGAGCCCCCGGAGGGTGGGACTGCTGAGGGAGAAACTTCTGAGACTGGCTCCTTCAATTGATCAACAAAACACCTTCCCTCCAGCTCACAGGAATCAACCTGCAAACATGCCGCCTTCGGTCCCGACTCTGAGTGTCGAAGCTGCCACTGAGAGCGAGAATGAAAGTGAGAACGTGGCAAACACACATGTTGCACAGCCTCACAGCAAAGGCGACAAGTCTAATTCAGAGGTAGTGGATAATGCTGACAGTCACAGAGAGAAGGAGGTGTTACCTGACAACAGTGGTGGAAGCTGTACACCAGTTAGAGATTCCCATAATAGTAAGTAGGAGCTACATAGTCTGACAGCGAAGAAAAGTTTGTAATCAAGACTTTCATTTCAATTAGTTTGAAGCTGCGTTCATGTGCCACAATCAAACTTTTTTCAAACGTATTTTCTAAGTATATCCAGCTTGTGCATTCTCCACCTACAATTACATGCTAGAGGTATGAGAAAATTGAAATATTAGTAATTTGATGGCACTTCATGAAGAAAAACGTTTAATTTATTTACATGACATATTTTGATACATGACAAAAACAAGAGCTTCGTCAGGTTAAAATATGAGTTAAGGGAGTAAAGTCGACCATTTGTAGCGCATTACAAAAGTATTTATGTTTTGAACTGCAGTGCATTTGAATGTTTTTTTTTGTCTGATAGACAAAATCCTAATAAAATGGGATTTTCACGTTACACAAAGTAGTGTGTAATTGCAAAGTGAAAGCAAAATGATGCATGATTGGTGGCAGAATCGCAGCATGGGAAGGTTTTTAAGTAGGAACACAGTAGCTGGTTATAGTTGACTGAATAGCAGAAAACTGAAAACAAATGCGTTCCACAGTTTCCAAATTTTACTCCACAGCCGTGCCCTACTTTGTGTTGGTCTAACTCTAAGACAAAATAAATAAATAATAATCAATAAATATATTGAAGAACGTGATTTAAAAAATTTAGGCTGTGTGAGTACTTTTGCAAGGCCTTGTATCTCATTGGCTGTTTAATGGAAGCCCAACCATTAAATTAAATAATGCTAATTACAAGGTCAAACAGGCTTTATCACAGTTAAATCCTTTAATAGGGTGTGTACACTCTGCGTTTGTCCAGTTTATGTTAAAATTCAAAATTTTAGTAATGTTTTTATGACAATTGTAGTCTGTGAAAGCCCTCAAAATCATATTTGTGTTCATTAAAATTTCAAGGATATTATCAACAAACATCATGATCTATTTAAAACTTTCCTGTATTCTCGTAGGATCCAAGAATTTGGAGAGCAGGCGGAAAACAAGCCCTTATTTCAGAGGGAAACATCTCAAAGATGGTAATGTTTATGGAGTTAATTTGTGCACAATTGTTGGCAGGCTTTGCTCTTCCTAATATCTGAGATATCTGAGAACTGTTCTCTGTGTTTGTGCTCAGGACTCAGCCCACCCAGGAGGAAATCTCTCAGAAAATGGACACCTCCCCAGTCTCCCTTCAACCTCATACAGGAAACCCTTTTCCATGATCCCTGGAAGCTTCTGGTGGCCACTATTTTTCTGAATAAGACAAGTGGTAAAGTCCCACGTATGCGCAGCCTGAATCTCAATCTGCAGTAAAAATCGGAATTTTACTAGTTCTTCATTACAGGGAAAATGGCCATTCCGGTGCTTTGGGTTTTCTTTGAGCACTACCCGTCCGCAGAGGTGACCCGGGAGGCCGACTGGAAGCCCATGTCTGAACTCATGAAGCCACTTGGCCTCTATGAGCTTCGAGCCAAAACAATCATCCGCTTCTCCGGTGAGAATATTAGACTTCTGCTGGATAACTTTCATCTAGGAAGAAAACTAACTGTGTTTTCTCCTGATTAGATGAGTTTTTAAATAAACAGTGGCGTTACCCTATTGAGTTGCATGGTATTGGCAAGTATGGGAACGACTCCTACAGGATCTTCTGTGTTGATGAGTGGAAACAGGTGAATGAACTCAACTCCCTAGCTATTTTAAGTTATTTTTAAGTCACAATTAAGCTAAATCACACAGATTATATGTTTTTTTTGTTTTGTTTTTTTTATAGGTGACTCCTGAAGATCACAAATTAAATAAATACCATGCCTGGCTGTGGGAGAACCATAAAACATTGGGAATCTGAAGAATGATCAACCTCAAGAAAGATTTTATCTTCAAGCAAGAAAATCTTTTCGGCTCCATAATGACGGATGTTATCTAACCTACAGCAGATCAAAACAATACACTTGCACTTTTAAATCTAAATCCCATAAAAATTATGCAGCAAAGTTTCAAATGTTTGCCCTTTAAAAAGTTTTTTTTTTTTTATTTCTTGTTCAATAAAAGAGTTTTAGTCATTTTAACAGCTGAAATGATTCTCTTCCTTGTTTTGCTGAAAGGTACCTCACATGGAAATGTTCTCAGTGTTTATCTGGTTAGCTTGTTGTCGCGTGCTAATAATCGTTCTCTTTTGTCTCTGATGATGTTTGGCCACTCAGATGCAGTTTTGTTTTATTAGAGGGGTGGGAAACCCAGTTCCCAAGAAAACGGTTACAAAAGCAAAACACTGATTGAATGCTCTGATTCATCTGGGTTTAATGTTTATTTGGCACCTTTACAGATATATGTAAAACTCAAGATTTTTAGGTATAAGACAAATGTCCTTTTATATATTTTTAAGCTTTAGGAGTTTGGGATGTTTTGGCACACAAAGTCTGGACTCAGGAGTTCCGGCAAAAAAGAGCAAGACCTAAAGATGAGACTACGTAAGAAAACATTGTTTCATTTATTTACTCTGTTTTTTATTTACAGGACTGGTGAAAAGTTTATCTCTACTTTAACATTTGCATATTATATTAACTTTGGTGTCTTTTTTTTCAGGATGACAGGCTTAGCTAATGAGCAATTCACATTTTTCAACAAAACTCAGACACTCAAATTTTATTAAAGGATTTTATGCTTGCATATAGACATGCAACCCAATGTTTGGTTAAATGTTCCCAACAGGATGAAGCTTGTGTGAGAAATGGTGACTAGAGATTATTGCAATGGCAAGGATTAACTAAATTAGTTAATTTCATGCCACAAAACCAGATTTTATGCATAGTGTAGAAAGTTTCACAGGGTCAAAGTTGGGCAAACTACTAGAATTTTATTTTGACTTTTTTAAATTTATTAAAGCATTTTCTTGTTTGTTTCCATCTTGAAGGATAAATCATTAAAGCTGCCAAATGCAATTATCATGGGGATTATTACATTTCTGTTTTCTCTCTCTCACTCACTATTCCAGCATCTATCTTTATACCCACACCCATTTATGCTTCTCAAGACACTCCAAGCTTTGCTGTCACTCCAATAACATCGCCAATTCTCCTGGACCATGGTAGTATGCTAAAGAGCAGTCAGGTGAGGTCCTGGTGTCAATCCAATGTGTGGTTGCTGCCTGTAGATGCATTAATAAATAATTGGACGCCATAAATGTAAATAAACATTAAAGCACAAATGTATAAATCTGATTCGCAGAATATTCCAAGGTTGGATCTTTTGCACCCACCTTTAGTCCTTAAACGCACCCACCTTTAGTCCTTAAACGCACCATCAGTCTTGAAACATGCGCTGTTCACCATCATAACCACCAGAGGGCGCTGATCATGCAAAGAGGAGAGCATTTCAGGTGGAAAGGAGGAGTCCTGACATACACCCAGGGAATAGCCTGGCTTTTATTGTGGATTTACTGTACAAAATAAAAATAATAATATGAACTCATGGTCACTGAGTAGAAGTTGTTGTGTCAGGTATCATCAGGTGTGGAGGAAACCATTTTTTGGATCCATCAGTGAGAAAGAAGAGAACAGGCAAATCACTTCAGCTCTACATTCTAAGTTATCCTCTGACAAGGCCTCACCTTTGCACACGTTAATATGTGGTTTATTTTGCCAGAAAGGAAATACGAAAGCAGCTGAAGAGGCAGATGGAGAAGAAGTGCGTGGAACTGAAGCTGCAGCTGGCCAGTAAAGTAAAAGAAGCAGAGCATCTCAAGGCGGTGGACCGCCTCGCCCTATCTAGTGAGAGACAGCAGCGAATTCACCACACCAAAGCAATGGCAGTCTACAGAGATGAGAACAAGAGGGTACAGTCCCAATCATGCATTATGCATCCATTACCAACCCCTCTGTGTACTAAAATATGTTGAAAATGCTTCCTGGAGCATACTTTGAGGTAACAGTAAAATGTCTTGTTTTTTTTTCTCTTTGTCTCAGTTGGACTTGTTTTGTGTGCAGCTAATGGAGCAGAGCAGGAGGGACAGAGCACTAACACATTCCCTAGAGGCCCTGAAGGACAGAGAGCTGCTGAGCCTTAACCCCATTAACTGGAGTGGAACACTGACATCAGTCCAAGCAGCCAAAACCTGCAATTCAGGCTTCTTCTCAACCACCAAGGAGCAAACCCTCAGTTTGAAATGAAAAAAAAAAGTGATGTAAAACAGAAAGCATAGTGAAGGGGAATAAACATAAAATATGTGCTTAGTGTTTTGCTTTTTCTTATAAATACAGATAATGGGGGGGAAAACATTCTTGAGATCTAATTATAGTTTGGCTTATTAAAACTCAAAATTGTGTTTCTGGAATATTACAGAATCTGGAATAACATCAAACCATAAAAAAAAGGTATATATATGTCCAAGATCTGAATTGCTGCATCGAAGCAGCGTGGAATGAAGACGATCAGGCTGCAGCGGAGGTTTAATGGAAGTCCAGGTTGCTTTAACAGCAAACTTCGCTTTTCTCCATTGTTGGGTCTGGTGTCTCACGTCTTCCTTTAGATGCTGAAAAATTAGATCAGCAATTCCTTAAAGATCTCCCAGTCAATTTCTGGACCAACTTTGATCTAGAATACAACAAACACCAGCAGATAACATGGCTCCCCAGACCAAAACCGATTGGAAACTACTCAGTGGACCTCAAGCCTGGGCCTCTCCACTCTACCTCTTGGACCTTATGTGTTTTCAAATGAAAAGCAGGATTTCAAAAGAAAGGATTTGCAGCCATCTAGTCCTTTCACTCCTAAAGTAAGTGTATAAGTGTTGTTGTCCTTGTCTTAGGAGGGGCTCTAGACAAGCAATGCAAAAGCTGTGGCCCTGGTCCTGGATACATCAGAGTGGGAAATTCAGATTCCAGCTAGTGTTTGCACAGAATTCTTCCATGGGCTTTGATTCAGGGCCATTTTCAACCATGTTTTATCTTTCACACAACTTTTCATTAACATATTTACCAATCGCAACATGAAAAACCAGCTTCTTTAATAAGGAGCTTTATTCTGTAATTATTAAAGGAGCAGTGTAGTCCACTACTTACTAGATTACCGTCATGTTAGCAGTTTTCTAATGGTTAATACAATTAACTACTAACATTATCACTTGTAAATATATCAGTGTGCAATTATGCTATAATTTTTTGACAGTCAAAAACATTTAAATACCTGAATTTGTTTTATAATATATATTAAATTGTTTTGTTCACCCAAACATTTTTCTTTGTCTTCTGTCTCTCTGCCACTTCATCAAACAGTTTTCCATGTTCCAGCAAAGTTAAAATAGTCTATCAAAAAAACAAATCCTACAAAACTGTAAAATTTCCTTTTATTGTGAAGCAAACCCAGGGAATAGCTTGCAGTCCAGGTAAATACGGATCGACAAAATGACCAAATGGATCAGAGGTGTTAGTGTTATGGTTCTCCAAAATAATCTCTGAATTACAGTTGACTGTTTGTACTGATAATACAAACAACTAAATATTCACAAACATAAATAAAAAGAAAGGCATCAGAAATTGGCTTGAATTATCCAGATTGCACTCACACACTCCTCTTACATTTAAATAAATAATCCAGCAGCTAAAAAAGTAAAAACAATCATGCTAAAATAAAGTAAACAAATTAAAACAGTGCAGTAGTTCTGATTTCAAATGAACATGCATTGTGACACACACATTCACAGAGGAAGAGGTATAAAGTCATCCAGTGAAAAAAAAACTCATGATATAAACTCCTCAGACTCTATTTAGGGTCAGTTTGAGGGGACAGTGTTGATCTAATTCAGTGCTTCTCAAATAGTGGGGCGGGCCCCCTTTGGGGGGCGCGGTGCGATACCTGGGGGGCGCGTGTGATCCTGGGGAACAGGCTTTTTTTTGGCCGAACTAGTATAAAGTGTAATTGCGCACAGTAGGCAGCAGTGGCGCTCTCATTGTTACTTCTGTCACGTTTGCGACAGTGCAACATTTTACGACTTACAAGACAACAGGTTTGCCTTGGTTAGCAGTGTTAAGTCAACAAAAAGCTCCGACTGCGTTCTGTCTATGGCCTCCGTTATTCAACAACCCCCAACATGAAAAAGTTTTTCACAGGGATGAAAAGAAAAGCGGAGAGACAAAGATAATGAGACAACAGAAAGTCAACCGAAAGCTAAGAAGAGGAAATACGACGAAGCGTATTTAGCGCTTGGCTTCACTGTGACTACAGTTGGAGAAGAGGAAAGACCGGTGTGTTTGCTGTGTCTAAAAATGCTCGCAGCGGACAGCATGAAGCCAAATAAATTAGCGCGTCACTTAAATACGTTACATCCCAATCACGCCGATAAGCCGCTAGAGTTTTTTCAGCGAAAAAAATGTTAATAAGGAAAAAATGTTATGCAGAGATGGATAGTCACGGTGGGGAATGGGGGCGCGAATAGTTTTCTTCTTGCTAGGGGGGGCGTAACGGAAAATAATTGAGAAGCACTGATCTAATTGCATGCCCACAACTACCATCTGGAGTATAGCAGTAACCTGACACAGGCAAAGCTTATGGTAGGGAATGAAGTTCAGGTATTTTACGTCAGTGCAGTGTTGCTTCATTCATGACATCATAGTCTTCACCTTTACTTGTATAATCCTCTTCATCAGTTATACATTACTTAATCCAAGCCCTTATAAATTACATAATTAATCCCTGAAAGGCTAGCATTGAAGATAATGTCCCACCTTGGGTCCGGTCTTATTCACCTCTCCTGGTTGGTATCCCCAGGTCCCTTTGTTCCACAGACATGTGAAGACAGTCTAACGTCCCTTCAGAAATCCATCCAGCATGTAGTCTCCCTTCTCTGTCAGCCAATATCCAGCCATAGCAGCCACTCCTCCAATAAAAATGGCTGTGAAGACCATGTCTCCCTTGGCTGCAAGTGTGGCGAGGGCACAGATTATGACGCCGAAGAACATCTGCTGCAGCACAAGAACCTCGTCATCCGTCATGTCGTCAAACAGACCTTTCTCTGGGCCAGCTGAGGAGGCAAGACGGAAGCAAACTCAGATTTCAGAGTCCAAACTTCACCAAGATCTCCTTATGGATTGCTTTCCAAGAATGAGGTCAACATTTGCATTACCAATGCTATTTTTACACACAATTTTCTTCCCAGTATTTCTTGCACATAAACAGTTTAGATTCATATCTTAAATTTGTCTTCAAATGTATAGAGCCAGTGCCTTCTTTTCCTAAAAACTACAAACAAGATGCAGTTTCAATTGTCACTCTCCATACGGCTCTGTTACCAACCTAAGTTGCCATGTTAAACTCAGTTTTTTTTATGAGACTTAAAAATATGTCAATGGAAAAATGTACAAATCAGCTATATTTCAATGCAGCATAAGGCATTAAACGCTGGCAGCATCGATTCTAATCCAAACTATTCAGAGCAAATACAGAGAGAATACAGACGGGAGACTATTTTTGGTTCATACTGCTTTGCCTAAAACCTGATACACACCAGGTGGCTTATTCTCCACACAAATGCTGTCTCTTCTGATGAATCCCTCAGCACAGTCGCAGTGGAAGGAGCCCTCCTCGTTGATACAGGCCTCGTTCAGCCCGGGACATGCTATTGCGCGTTCGCTACATTCATCTATATCTGAGAGGAAACGCACAGTGAAATGCCCGAATCTCCACCAGGATAACCTTATATGTTAAAAATGTCACTGATGATTAATGACACTTTAAATACCAAGACACTTGGCTCCTTTCAGTCTGTAGCCACGCGAACATTTCTTACAGCGAGCAGGACCGCTGCCCATGCAGCCCACGCACGCCTGGTCACAGCCTGGATGCAAAGGTGAAACAGTCAGCATCATCACTGTCAATGTGATGCTCTGCCCGCTAGCAGAACAGCAACTGCCTTCTGTGGTCAAGTTTGTAGTTTCCACAAGCACCACAGTTCATCAATCTTAAGTTTTCTTAAGAAAAATCGAAGTCTTTCGTTTTTGGTATGAATGCAAAAACAAATTCATCTTGAAGACTATAATACAAACAGCATTTCCTAACTGATTATAGGATCCAGTTAATTACTTCATATTGGTAATTGATGCTCTAACTAACTTTTCAAAACCTCACAGAGACTAAAAATAGTTGAATAACACTCACACCGACCCGTGTTGGTTTCAAACCATTCGGTCTGAAACCGAATGGTTCAGACCGAATGGTCAGCATGCACGGCGACTCTTCGGTCAGCGTGCATGCTGGTCAATTGAGACAAGCAGCATGATTTTGTTTGCTCGAGATCAATAAATATTGAAGAAGCCATACCTCTGCATTCATAGGATCCATCTATGTTGTGACAGTAAGTGTTGGAAGGACAACGAGCCAGCTCTGTGCCGCACTCATCAATGTCTACAAGAGGCATGGTAAAAGTCACGGGAAGTGTATTCATCCTAACGTGCTAAAGAAAAAAAACAACCAAATTCACACTCACCCACACACTTGTTGTCATGAAGGATCCACCCAGGTTTGCAGGCGAGGCACTTGTAATCCTGTGGCCCTGAGCATTTCTGACAGGAGTGGTAGCACGCTAAACATGGATGAAAACTGTTAACATCAAACAAATATCCGCTCCGGTTGAACATCATGTCGACTTAAAAATATGTAAACAGCAGTCAGGAAATGGTGCACCTGCACAAGCCCCTGCGCTGTCATTGGAGTTCTTCTCCCGGAAGTAACCGTCAGCACAGCTCTGGCACAGCTGGCCCGAGTAACCCGGGTCGCAGACACACTCCCCATCTCCCAGACGAGTGCCCTCACCCTCACATCGGCCCAGACCTCCACACACACCCCCAGGTCCGGACGGGCACTCTTCAAATTAGCACGATTACAATGATCAGCACTTTGCTTAAATACCGCAGCAATGAAGGAAGTAAGCAAGGATGTAGACTTTGTTTTTTTTATTGTACTAACATAGAGCAACCTGCTTATCCACACCTTTGCAGTCGGGTCCAAAGTGTCCAGGTGGGCAGCACAGTGTTAGCTGCTCAATGCAGAGCCACTCAAACAGATCTGGTGCCTCCTGCTGCCTGGAAAACAAATAAAATGTTCAAACAGGCTCATGATAACACAGCGTGTTTACTTAGAAGAAGCCATAAATGTTTTCATCTATTTTGATCTAAAGAGTAATAAAACAAACTTATTAAAGGCAGATTTATAATGAAAAATAAAACACTTGTCTTTAACACCTATAATAATTTTAACTGAGCCGTACCTGTGGAACCACCACGTCTCAACCTGGTCTTCTATCTGCTCCAGCAGACGGTTACATTCAAAATCTGTTTTCTCACAAGCGGCTTCGACGATCTCCAAGAGCCGAGTCTCACTAAAACGAGGAGACGATAATTAGGCTGAACCACAGAAATATGCGAGTAATAAATACATAAAGAAAAAAATCAACATTTAAAACCAAAAAACATTCTAGGGAAAGGATTGAATAATAGACAAAACAAATGTAAATTACAAATGGTCACAGTATCGTGAAAGTCAGCTGCAGAAACTATCCCTACCTGCGTGCATACTTAGCCAGCTTCTCCTCCTCCCATGCAGTGTTGCCGCCACCAAAGTTCTTGTTTGCCGTTTTTTCTAGTCCCTACACAAACACTTAAAGTTTTTAATCCTTCAGTTTGACACAGAAATAAAAGCATGATAAAAAGATGTCAAGTGAAAACTTACAGTTTATCAGATTTACCTTAATGAAGCTTTCGGTGAGCTTTCTGCAGGTTTGACATGGCGCCGTCTGGACTTTCTCCACAGAGAGCTCTGACAGAAGCACCAGAGCAAGCAGGAAAGGCCAGACTCCCCACATGATCCTTCAGAGGACAAACAGAAAATATATGCTTCACCAGAACAGACAGACAGTATCCAAAGTTTGAAGCATCAAGCTTATCTTCTAAAATTCTTCTGCACTCAATTCTTCTGCACTTCTTCTGCACTTTTTTTTTCAATTATTGATTTGAAAACTTTCTTAAAGCCTTATAAGTTTCAAAAGCTGCGTGATTTACCTGCTTCTATGTCTACTGCACTTTAAAATTCAACGGTCATGCTAATGGGAAAATTAAGATAAATTAAAACAGTAACGGTAAACTTTCAAACAAGGGTGGATACGCAATTAAAATAAATACAATTGTAAGGCAAGGTAAGGTACAACTGAAGATACGAACCCACTGAACTGGTATAACATCTCATATACCAACATTTATTTATTTATCACTTATATAAATCATATGTATGCAACATTCTTCACACTAACGTAGTAACAGAAACAGCAAAATAAGCTGCTTATCCAAGCTCAGATGCTCTGACTTCGATGTTAGCTCAGCAACATCAGCACCAGCTAGCAGCTAAGGTCAGCTAGCTGCTAGCTTTAGCCAACTGCATCTATAAGACTGCTCTTCAGGCCACTACTCTGTTTATTTTTGAGGCACTATTCAATCTTATATATATGTAAACATAGCACTTAATCGTTTTACCTCCATGTTTTTGCTTTGAGATCTTTTTTTCTGTACCTTGTTAGCAAACCACAAAGTCTGCTGCACCACCGACAGATCGTCTCCGTCCCTGCTGGCTCACTGTCACCTGAACCCGGGCAACTTCACATTTTAGGAATCCTCCTTCAACTTTTACTTTTCAGCCAAAGGCTGTTTGATTAACGCTGGAAGTGCTCCTGCAACAGCCGTGGTGACGGACTGCAGTGGGACGGGCAGAAACTACACTCCGCTGGGATGAGTGAATGATTGGCTGCTAGTCTCTTCTGTTTTCCATGGAGCTGCTGCCACGCAGGATATGACGTTGTTGCTGGGATTTAATCTATCAGCCAATCACACATCAGAGCCGTCACACCCATTTATCATGCGTGTTAATGGTCATATCTCCTTACTGAAATAGGAAATTATTAAATTAATCTATTATTAATTTCGAATGGGTTAATTTTTATATTTATATTTAACTGATTCTTCTGGTCGTTTTTAAAACGTTTTTTTTTCCCTTGTTTTTTATACACACCTTATTTATATGAAATCTGACATAAGTTGATACTCTACTGCACCTGTATAACTGTGTTTACTTTGAAATGAAAATTATTTATTTGTATATTTAGTAACAGAAACATGACTGTTTTATTTTTCCATTTACTACTTTAGCGTTAGAAATTACAAGTTTCAAGACAGGAAAATTAATGAAAGGTCCCCTAAGGTCAAAATTTAGTTAAATGTTAGATGATAGAATCCAATAGAATTTTCAGACTTCAGTTTGGTTCGGTGTAGTTTCTAGATTTACGTTCTGAGTTCAGAAGTTAATGGAGAACACAGCTGGCACTAAATGTGTGACTTTTTTTTACCATTATCATTATTTTGCTCTGGGAATTCTCAAACGTTTCTCCATGATACTGCTCAGTTGAAACTAGTTTAGAACAACCTTGAACAGCTCATCTTTTAATTGTGGTAACATTTCTCTGTGTGTGACACTGAAGACAATCCAGTGGTATGTATATCTATCAAATACATACAAAATGCATTTGGTGCATAGATCTTGGCATGTGCTTGAAAAGTAATACCTACAAACATTTTAGGACCCATATAATACGCCAGGGCTCATCTTTTAACCACTACCCTTGCAAACAAGACAGCGCTCTATCTACCACTACAGTCTCAATGTTTGTATAATGCAGCACCCTATCTTTGCACAGACACTTTGTTGTTTTAATATTATTTTCTCTGCTGAGCCTGTTGAGTCTTTTGGAAGTCAAGGGAAGAAACAGAAAACAGGATATATTATCACTGGAAGCACTTTATTCTGTCCTCTACAGTTATGTTACATACTGTATTGATTTGATAAGTTTTATGTTGAAAAAGTGATTAGAAAAAGTGTTTGTTCTACCTAATTTTGCTTTGTAATCATATTTGTACTTAAAATGTATTTTTTTTGTCTCTGATGACATAATTTTTCAAGATGTATCAGATGTAATGTTCACAGCTATAAAAAGCTCACCTACGTAAATAATTTACTGGATGGCTATTTTTTAAATGTTGAGTAAAAACAAGCTTAATGAGCGCTTCTCTTGAGTATTGTTTTACCCGACTCATACAATGCATCTGCAGTGCTCCATATTATCCATACAACCAAAGTGCTGTTTGCAGACTGGTACATCTCTTAATTTGACATCTTCCTATTGAGCTTTATTTCTTTAGTTTCTACAGCTCTAATTGGCCATGCAGTCTTCTTCAATAACTGGTACCAACATCTTTTCTGTTTCTCCTGCATACTCTCCTTAATGTTAATGATAAAAACATGCAAATCAAATTAGGATTTTTAAAAAATGCTTAAATGTGCTATAATTTATGTTGTAACAACCTTTACTGTGAAATTGAAGTAAGTCAAAATTGATTTATTCAGATATGAGCAATAATTGTCTATAGAGAAGTACAATAATGCTTTATTCAATTCCATATTAAAACAATTAAGATAAATCACAGTATAAAACCAACTCAGAATTCCTGAGCAAACCATATAGCATATTTACATGTACAGGCTGTCATATATAATTATATATATGCATAAATTTTTTCTTTCAAGAACATCATGTACAGGTAAAATGACTTAAATACACAGTGCATGTGGAAAGGTTGGTATAAATATCAAGACATGCAACACTGAAAATGCTCTTTTTGAGGTTTTGTTTTAATGCCATTTTGCTTTTGCAACATCACAAACATAATTTGCAAACTCCTAAAAGGATCTTCTATTTTTAATGTATTTTGTTTCTCCAGGTAGTGTCATGTTTCAGTGCTGGATCAAGTTTCTCTTCAGCATTTGCTTCTCAACCTTTACGGATCTGATATTTATCATATAAAACCGCTCTTGCTGCTAAACACATAGAATCCAGGTCTATCAAGCTGATATTGCTGTTTGATAAACCTAACTAGCAAAACTGTTTAACAATATGATGCTTCAGCATGTCCTACAGCAATTTTCATGTTGTCCTCATGCATGAGTTTTCTTCCAGATATGCCAGATTCCTCCCACAGTTCAGAAACATGTTTAACTGGTCACTTCAAACTAAGTGCTGGTGTCCGTGTGTATTTTCTGAACTCTGAGTTCAAATTTTCTTCCCATGCATGTGTGCATTTTCTGCAGTTATTCCACTTTCTTCACATTATCCAAATTAAGTGTGCAAAGTTTATCTTTCAATTCCCCACAGGTAACAGTACATGACTGTGTGGTTGTTTGCCTTGCGCATTTCTGTGTTGCCATGTCCTGGATCAGCAACCGCACAGTATATTGCAAAGTATCGCATTATCAGTGGGCGTAATCATATTTCAAAGGACTGTTTGGAGTGCAATAATTGCAGCTAATATATCCCAAGACTTATCAAACTGCATTTTCTTCCAATATTAATCTCGTTGGACACAGTCTCACTGCAGCAAATCCTCACACTGGACAATAATAACATTTGCCCAAAATGGTGAAAGTCACAGAGAGTAAGAAGCATAGTCATATCGTAACTGATATCATCAATGCAATATTTACCAACAGTATTTTCATTGAAAGATATTCTAATGTCATGCAGTTGTATCCTAACCCTTAACTGCCTTCTGTTCAATAACTTCTGGAGACACTTGGAGATCATCAAGCATCAGCATCCCGCGACACAGTAAGAGTAACGCAAACAGAAAATGAATGTCTTTGTGCATTAATTGAGGTATATTTGTTCACTGGAGCCTCCCATAACTTGACCTTTGTGATCCTCTCTAGTTGTCAGACCCAGTCCATTTTACTGACCTGTGTATCAGGACTGGACGGTGGTGTGATTAAATTTGGTTCTAAGAGTAGTGTTTCCCCAGAGTCTTCCTCTTCCTGCCCAACATAGCCTGGAGACACACCAGCAAGATGCAACACATTTGTCCCTGCTGTGAACCCTGACAGCCTTTTGGCAAACGCTCTGGATGCCATTCGAAGCCCCCCTGCTCTTTTCCGCCTTGCTGATGCAGAGGCGATTTGTTTGGAGCCCGCCAGTTCAGTCAGAAAGCCCAAACTTTGGGACGGAAGACTGTAGAGATGGAGGCCACAAAAAAGCTTTGGAAGCGGTCGGTAACCACCTGGAGGTGCAGGAGGGAGTGACTCAAACTGCACCAGCATGAACCGCTCGCCTGCGCGGCCCTGTAAATAGTCTGCAAGAATGCAGCTTAGCGAGGCGCCAAAAACATCCACGTGGCGGGACGAGGTAGAGTCCCCCTCCGTTCCTGTAATGCTCTCTTCATTGTTCTCGCAGCTGCGGGCTCCCCATTGCTCAGCTCTGGTCCACGTGGTCTGGGTTAGGACTAGCACCACCTTACCGCCCTGCCGCTTCAGACGGTCCAGTCGCGAGTGGAGCCATGGCACGGGGCCGAGCACGCTGAGTTCGCCCTGGCTCCAGAGGTCAAGAGACACGGTGAAGCCCAGGGCCTGAAGAGATGAACCCAAGTGACACAGGAGCTCTGGGAGACGCTTGTCATCATCAGGCGGATATAGCAGCATCACATGACCGCCACCCACAGCACCTGAAAGAAAGAAAAACATCCATGCAGGCTGTTTTCAATCACAAGATAAATTAAATATTTGTTTAATATAATGCATGTTGTAATAAATGAACACTAAATGTACTTTCAAATGTACTTTTTAAGCCACAGAGTAATAAAACAAACAAAAAATAATCTCGCCTGAACTATACAACTAGGTATAAATAAAAAAAATCTCACTTTCGCACTGCCTTGAAAATCTGTTTTACATTTTGTCACATGATAAACACAAACCCTTTATGGATTTTATTTTAATTTTATGTGACAGACGAACACTAAGAAGTCCACTTTGGTTGTAAAGTGGAGAAAAAAATATTGGATACTTTTCAAGTTTCTGAACAAACAAAAGTAGGAAAAGTGTAGCATATATTTGTGCCAATACTTTGAAGGACCACTTTCACTGCAATCAAAGCTGCCAGTGGGTATTTCCAAAAGGTTTCCATATATTCTCCATTTGATTAATGTCTGGACTTTGATGTGGCCATTTTAACACATGGATTTACTTTATTCCTAGTAACTCCTCTGTTGTTGCATATTTATGTTTGCTGCTCGAAGGTAATTATTCACAGCTGTTTCTTTTATGGCATTACCCGTAAACAGGACTTATGGCTGGATTCTTGCCACTCTTACAAAATTAGCCCTTATTTGTGGAGTGGGCGACTAATGGTTGCACTGTAGACAGTGCTGCTTCACTGCATCTCCTTCATTGTCACAATGGCTAATTTTCCATTGATCTCCTCTACAGATAAACAGTCGGCAGGTTTGCTGCTGTGATATTGTTTTAAAATTTTGCTCTGTAATCTTTTCTACAACTTTATCTCTGATTTAGCGGGCATGTTCCTTAGTCTGCAGTGATGCCGTTTATTCACTTATCTCCTCAAACAACCAGAAAAGCTGGACTGAGATTTAATTACACTTTGGTTGATTATTTTAATTATTCAAAAATAATTTTTCTTTTCCTTTACAACTTTGCTCTACTTTGTGTCTTCAACATAAAATTCAAAATAAAACAAACTGAAATTTGTGTTTGAAGCAAAGATTTGAAGCAGTAAGACTAGTTTTTAAAGGAACTGTAACATTAGCAAAAGGGTTTGTTTTTTGTTTTGTTTTTTCTTTTGTCAGCATAAACTCAAAACAAGAGTTAGACAAACCTCTGACGTCATCATCCTTCAACCATCTCCAAACATATCCTGGAGAAAAAGCAGAAA